CGTGCAGTACGATCAGGGCGAGGACCGGTGGCTTTGCACGCTGCTCCTCCAGCGCGGCTACCGCGTGGAGTACTCCGCTGCCAGCGACGCCTACACCCACTGCCCCGAGGGCTTCAACGAGTTCTACAACCAGCGGCGCCGCTGGGTGCCCTCGACCATTGCGAACATCATGGACCTGCTGGCGGACGCGAAGCGCACGATCAAGATCAACGACAACATCTCGCTGCTGTACATCTTCTACCAGATGATGCTGATGGGCGGCACCATCCTGGGCCCGGGCACCATCTTCCTCATGTTGGTGGGCGCGTTCGTGGCCGCCTTCCGCATCGACAACTGGACCTCCTTCCACTACAACATCGTGCCCATTCTGGCCTTCATGTTCATCTGCTTCACCTGCAAGTCCAACATCCAGCTGTTCGTGGCGCAGGTCCTCTCCACGGCCTACGCCCTCATCATGATGGCCGTGATCGTGGGTACTGCCCTCCAGCTGGGCGAGGACGGCATCGGCTCGCCCTCGGCCATCTTCCTGATATCCATGGTGGGGTCGTTCTTCATAGCCGCGTGCCTGCACCCGCAGGAGTTCTGGTGCATCACGTGCGGGCTGATCTACCTGCTCTCGATCCCCTCCATGTACCTGCTGCTCATCCTCTACTCGATCATCAACCTGAACGTCGTCTCCTGGGGCACGCGCGAGGTGGTGGCCAAGAAGACCAAGAAGGAACTGGAGGCGGAGAAGAAGGCCGCCGAGGAGGCCAAGAAGCGGGTCAAGCAGAAGAGCATGCTCAGCTTCCTGCAGAGCGGCATCGGGGACAACGGCGACGAGGAGGGCTCCGTGGAGTTCTCCCTGGCCGGACTCTTCCGCTGCATCTTCTGCACCCACGGCAAGACCTCCGACGAGAAGCAGCAGCTGACCTCCATCGCCGAGTCGCTGGACTCCATCAAGAGCCGCATGGACACCATCGAGAGTGCCGTTGACCCGCACGGCCACCACGCCTCGCGGCACGGACGGCGCAGGACCACCTCCAGCGGCTCCAAGGACCACCACCTGCTCACCTCGGTGGCGGAGAAGTCCGGCGACGAGTCGGACGAATCGGACTCGGACACCTCCGCGGAGCCCAAGCAGGAGCGCGACTTCCTCACCAATCCCTACTGGATCGAGGACCCGGATGTGCGCAAGGGCGAGGTGGACTTCCTCTCCAGCACGGAGATCCAGTTCTGGAAGGACCTCATCGACCAGTATCTCTACCCCATCGACAACGACCCAGTGGAGCAGGTAAGACTACCCATCTTGATTCTTCCAGCTACAGATCTTCAGGAGCGCCGTCATTGACCATCGGTGTTCCAATTTCCTGATCAGCAGAGTTTATTTTCGAGCATTGTCCGAGTCATTTAAATATGGTGTCTCTCCAATTTACAAAAAACTACAGATCTTTCTCTAGAATTTCATCAACAAAAATTGGTTTGTGGGTATAAAACACTTAATACTCTTAAAACCTTTTGAAAACTTACAATTTCAAAAGCAGTTTATTTAGATGAGTTTTCAATCTGTTAAATTCGCATGAAAGATTCTGTAAAAAATTCTACATGATAAAGAAATCATTTAAACGCAGGACTGAGAAAGCCAGCATAGTCCAAGAAGTCTTTAATATTTAATAGATCGCTTCTTAAAGGCATTATCTTTATTCAAGCATTTTTTATTTAATAGTTAATTGAAACAAAAATGTAATTATTTTTAGTTGGAAATTCTTTATTTAATTAAAAGTCATATTTGCTTGAAAGAGAGTTGAAACTTCGGCTTGCCGAAGCCAGTCTCAAAACTGAGTGCATTTTCCGTGGAAAAGCTTGCAATCGAAAAGACCAATCCTAACACAATCGCCGCATCGGGCGAAACGCTCTTGTAGGCCCGCATTGCCAAAGATCTCAAGGAGCTGCGCGACTCGTCGGTGTTCGCGTTCTTCATGATCAACGCCCTGTTCGTCCTGATCGTGTTCCTGCTGCAGCTGAACAAGGACAACATCCACGTGAAGTGGCCCTTCGGAGTGCGGACGAACATCACCTACGACGAGTCCACTCAGGAGGTAAATCCACCTTGCCGAACCCACTAACACAACTCTTTTGGTTTTTTCTTTCTTTGGCACCACGATCTGAATCTGAATCTGATTCTGAATTCGAATCTGAACCGAAATGAATCGAAACGCAGGCCCGCATTGCCTCCGACCTGATTGAGCTGCGGAACAAGTCGGTTTTCGCGTTTTTCATGGCCAACGCCTTGTTCGTGCTGATTGTCTTTTTGTTGCAACTGAACAAGGACAAGCTACACATTGTCTGGCCGTTGGGCGTCAAAACGAACATAACGTATATCGAAGAGACGTCTGAGGTTCATAAACTAGATTTACTCGATGTTATACTACCACAACTGTGCTGTCAGTGTTCTGGTCTCACCTAAAACCTCGGAAGGGTCCTCTAACCTCCCGCCTGTCCTCTCTGTTTCACTCTAAATGTTACTACCCGTCCAACATGTCACATCGTCACACAGCTAATGACGTTCCTTGTTCTGCGTTTCCCCGTGTATTGAGCCCCATCCTAATGGTTAAGGCTTTGTATCATTCGAATACCTCATGTAAAAACAACAGAACAACATCTGACATTTAATCGGTTCTAACAGTGTCCCCCAAACGAAACACGGTGAACTGTAAGCAATATGAATGTTCCCCTTCCGAATAATCACTGTTCTGTACTACACATGCCCAGAGTGACGGCAAGCATGTTCATTGTTCCTCCAACATCAATACAATATGTTTCAGTTAATGTACAAACAATCCCGACATACTATATAACCAACCTCCCGATCGGTATCACTCCTCAACATGCCACAATCACCGACAATTGGTATCAAGATCAGCCATTATCCAAGCCCAAACCGCCAACCAACCAAATCGTTCTAAATGTCACTAACCGGAAACCGAACTCTTTTTCCTCGACCCTAATGCCTTTGTTTCGTGATATAGGTTCACATCTCCAAGGAGTATCTGCAGCTGGAACCCATTGGTTTGGTCTTTGTGTTCTTCTTCGCCCTCATTTTGATCATTCAGTTTACGGCCATGTTGTTCCATCGCTTCGGAACCATCTCGCATATATTGGCCTCCACTGAACTGAACTTCTGCAAGAAGAAGTCCGAGGACCTCACCCAGGATCAACTGATAGATAAGGTTAGTAGTCCCCTTACTATTAATGGCAGCTTTATTTTTGTAAAAACCAGAATATTAAATAGAATTTTAATTGTAAATATCTCCTACATGTTCGTAAAATATTGTGCTTTTATGTTAATAATTATTCTGATCTAATCGTGGTTAAATTTAATGCTCACCCCATTCAGCACGCCGTGGAGATCGTCAAAAACTTGCAGCGATTACAAGGAATCGACGGGGACTACGACAATGACTCCGGTTCCGGACCAGATCGCATTGCCAGGAGGAAGACCATCCAAAACCTGGAGAAGGCGCGACAGCCGCGTCGCCAGATTGGAACCCTGGACGTGGCATTCAAGAAGCGGTTCCTGAAACTGACCGCCGATGCGGAGAACAACCCGGCCACGCCCATTCTCACCCGCCGCCTCACAATGCGAGCGGAGACGATCAGGGCACTGGAGGTGCGCAAGAACTCGGTGATGGCCGAAAGGCGGAAGTCCGCCATGCAGACTTTGGGTGCAAAGAATGAGTACGGGATCACCACGGGGGCACCGGTAAGATGTGGATAACAAAAATATATTGGACTGGCTAACAAATTTTCATTTAGATCAACAACAATGGAGGTTTGCCCAATCAGAGAAGTGGTCGCGTTTCGAACGCCGGAATCAGCATCAAGGATGTTTTCAATGTAAACGGAGGTGCTGCTGAGGTACGTAATGAAGTAAAATGTTATTAATTAATATATATTAATAATTAATATAAATTAATTAATATTAATTAATATTAAATTGGAGGACCTTGGGGTTATAATATTTCCTGAAGTTCTAAATAATTTAAAATGTGTTATAACCTCAAAAATCTATCTAAATTACGCACGTTGGTGATCCTGCCGTTGTTCTGGACGCAAAAGATAAATAGGGCATTTAAAAATAATTACATATGTACCTATTACTTTTTGCATCAAGAAAAAAATTAAAATTAATATTTTCTATCCCTGCTAAAAAGGCTTATTTTGTATCCAAAAACTAATACCACTCTTTTGCTCTGCAGCAAATCTACGGCTCGAATGGCGGCGGCACGATCAACCAGGGCTACGAGCACGTGATCGACGAGGACGGTGACGGCAACTCCCTGCGACTGACCACCCGGAACCCCCATCCGCACCCGCACCACCAGGTGTCCTGGGGCCAGAACACCAACGGCGGCAACGGCAACGGCACAGGGCGCCTGTGAGCCGCCGAGCATCCTAGACGTAGGCTAAGCTAGACCTAGAGAACCGTTAACGAATTCCGCCTCTTTCCACAAAACTGCCTAAACGTAAGACTAAGTCCACACCCACAGTTGTGGTCAGGATGGACAGGATGGAGTTGTACAGTGAGTGTGGGAATCGAGCACATCGATGGATTGGATCCTGGCGACTCAACGACCATTTCGCTAGCTAATCACACTGCCAGTGCCGATGAATGGGTGTGCGTGGGTCGGTGACCCCGATGGCGACTCCATTCGTTCGATGTACTATACTACCACTTGTTAGGTTACTTTAAGTCAATCCCGTGCGGTCCCACCGGACCCACGACCAGTGCAAGCTGACGCAAAATACTCAACGCGAAGTGCAGCAGAGAGATGACCTATTTATATACTCGTATACTCGAATAAACGAAGATAGTTCTCTTTAAATAATTAATTAGTGATTTGATGGATTGTACAACTTTTGATGCGCCAAGTAAATACAGATATCAAATGGAATCAGTTGTCAATGCTAACTTCTTAGGGGGAACCTTCAAACTGAGGGACCTTCAAAGGCAATTGCTATTTGTTTTCGGCTTGGAGCCCTAGTTTAATACGGATAACTTTATTTGCGGGGAGGGAAGAAACATTTCTAGACTTTGGTTGCGGGACAACATTGATAACCAACTGTGATAGGTAATAGTATTAGACACCCAATAGGGAAACGATACACATAACACACATGTGGGTATGGTCGTATATGCTCGCTGTTACAGCGCCCAGCGATCCAACTTAGTGGAAGAGCAGGTTACCCTTCTTGGCGGCGATGGGCAGACGGTCGCCCTGGAGGAACGGGTTCATGACGGCGGCATCCAGGCGCGGATCGGGCATGACCGGGTAGCCGGCCTTCTTCACCAGGCTGTTCACGTTGTTGAGGCTGTTCTCCTGGCCCATCTGCATGATGTACTGCTCCACGGCGGAGTTGAGATCCCCCTTCTCCGATCCGGAGTCGGCACTGTCCTGGTCCGAGCAGTCGAACATGTGCTCGTTGTCGCAGGTGCAGTCCTGGGCGGCCTGGAACTCCCGGCTGAAGATGGCCGTGTTCTCGAAGTCCACGATGCAGCTGCCGCCCTGGGTCTCCATGTCGTAGCCCTCGGGGCAGGGATTCGGGGGATTGCAGTAGGCCGGCAGTCCGGCGTCGTTCTTCACAATGGCTGGATACCTGTTGGGCCCCTCCCCCATTCCGCCCGAGATGAACTGGTGTCCCCACAGCGAGCTGTGCTGCAGGAACTCGTGGTCCCGCAGCGAGGGACTGGAGCCCGCACCCGAGGGCAGGATGCAATCGCTGCCCCCGTCGCACAGCCTGGCGTACTCCGAACGGGAGACCAGGTCCACGTTGTCCTTGGAGTTCGCGGCTGCCTCGTTGTCCACGTCGTAGTAGCCCACCTGCATGTCATTGTCCATACGGTTGAGCAGATCCGTCAGCAGGGCATCGGCCAAAATATCCTTGGAGCCGTACGACTGCACCTGGCAGCTACTTGAGAGGAGCACGAGCACCCCAACCAGCATAGACACACCTGGAACACCATGGACTGATGGTCTGAGTGACATTTACGACTAATTCCGAAGACTTACCCTGCGGTCTGGAAAACATATTGCGCGTTTCTAACCGACTTTGACCGTCCGTCCACGTAGGAGCTTTGCAGAGATATTGATTTTTCGGCGGCAGCTGCTTCGATTAGGTGTGTATAACACTGTGACGTCGAGCTCTTTCGTCCGATGTGGCGGCTACCAGTTGAATTGTCGGAATATACAGCAATGCACTCCTGGCCCTCTTTATAAAGCAGTCAGAGTTGATAACACATCTGAACAATGCGCATGCGCCGTAAAAGAAAGCTCTTTTATGTTGGGACAGTCCTTTTAAGAATGAGAATTAGATTAGAGCCAATCTGTTTTGGGTAAGATGGTCTTTAAAAACATTTATGGAAAATGTTATGTTAAGGTCTTTCAAAATATTTGCTTCGGAATTTGGAATCCATTGCATCTGCCGAAATATGGAAAATCATTGGAAATCACTCCGGAAAAAGTTTTTTCTAATACTTAGACTTCTTATTTTATTTCTCTTATTTTCTTGAGAGCATTTGTAAGGAATTCAATGCAGAATAACCTGTTATGTTTTTTTTAAACATAAAACAAACAAACGTAATATAAATAAAATGTCTTCCTCTGATGATAGCCCATAGGTACCAATTAATATAATAGTAAAAATGGATAATAATAAGTGGGAAGAGAAACGATTCGTTCAGCTGTCAAAGATCATATCGATTTCATCCTTCATAAGTCTTTCCAAGCGCTTGTGCGGCTGTGTTTTTCTGTGTGCCAGCAGAGCCTTTCGATTCGTTCAGCTGTCAAAGATCAGATCGATTTCATCCTTCATAAGTCTTTCCAAGCGCTTGTGCGGCTGTGTTTTTCTGTGTGCCAGCAGAGCCTTTCGACTTATAAAATCCAGACTGCAGGGCTCACACCTAAACAAAAAGAAACATAACATATAAACGAAGATAAATATTTCTGATTTCTGAAGTTACCAATATTTCCTTTTTTCCTCAGGGTGAGTGAGGCAGTGGTCTTTCAATTCGATGACGCTACTGAACTTCATTCCACATTCCAAACATGGATATGGTCGTTCGTTTTCATGGGCTCTGAAACACAAACATGCGGGTAACATTAAGATTTAATTGGTGTTCAAGGCTTTTCTTATGCTTACTTTTCGTGCCGCTGCCTGGCTCCCTGAGCTGAGAAAACATCGCCACAGAAGCGGCACTTAAACTGGCGTAGAGATTCGTGGTACAGTTCGCGGTGCTGCTTTAGAAGCGACTTTTTCTTGAAAGTCTCGGGACACTCAGTGCAGGGGAAGAACTTCTTCATCTCCCGGCGGTCTAGGTGCCCGTCCAGGTGCTCGTTGTACGAGTACTCATCGTGAAACAGCTGGCCGCACTCGTCGCAGATGAAGAAGTTCCTACGTCGCTTAGAGGCTCTTTCTAGCTGCTGATCCTCAATATCTGCATCTTGAGCCTCCTCTACGGTCTCCAATATCGAGACCTCGGGGTCGATCTCCGGTTGGTACTGGTCTATGCTATCTTCCTCCTTCGTTCTGTCGTAGATCATATAATCCTCGTCGTAATCAGCCTCAAACTGGTCCGCATCGATCAATTGCTCGTCCAGCGGCTGGGGGTCAACGTCGTTGTCGACAACGACCAAACCTTTCGACTTCTTCTTCATGTCTAGCAGATACTTTTGCGAGAAGATGCAGCGCTCGCGGAACTTGGTGGCCAGGTCTAGCTCAGAAAAGCAGCGCTCGCAAACGAACTCGGGGAGTCCCTCGTTGGTTGTAAGCTGGAGGATCCGAAATGTTAACATATAACAGAGACACTCGTGTAAAGATACCTCTACTCCAGTAATCAGCTTCAATTTGACCAGGAGCTTGCCACGCATGTACTTGAATATGTTACGATCTCGTTTTTGGTCCTTGATTTTGTTCGCGCAAATGCGGCAGACTTGGGCGATGTCCATTGTTAATACAAGAAAAGCTATTTATTTTCATCAAATTGTGGCAATTAGTGATGGCAACACCAGGAATTCAAATAGCTGATAGTGCTCACGCAGGTGGCTGCTATCGATACTTATTTGTCGATGCCTTTCTGATATATTACTGGGTTTTAAAAATTAGGACTGAATTACGTTTTGTTTTCCGTTTTGTATGTGTTAAATTTTAACTAAAATCCAAAAGAAGAAGAATTATAAGCAAATCTTAATTCGGGTCTTATAAAAAAAAAGTCGAAAAGTGTCTTATATAATGTTTTGTCTCAAACAAATCGGTCTGGCTTTATTGCTTTATTCTAATGTTGTGACTGGCAAGATTGAAAGAACACCAGATCCAGAAACCATGAAAAGGCCAAAGGAAAATATTTGAATTCGAAAAGTGTCAGAAATTGCACAGAGAAATCGATTGATGGCCAATCTGTTATTCTTGCTCATCCCTAGTTTCGCGCCTTAAATGTTTTCTGTGGTTTTGGCAACCGTTTTGTTTTTTGGGGGTTTCTAAGTGGCCTGCGTGCTAATAAGTTGTTCGTATTTATTAAAATAACCATGTCCAGCGAAGCAGGTCTGGGTTCCAAATGGACGCGACCAGATGATGTGGGTATGGTCATAGGATCATCTGCTCGCAACTCACATTTTGTCTTCATTTTTCAGTTTATAAAGCTGCAGCGGCTCAAACAGAAGAAAAACAAATTGGCTGCCCGTGTGAGCAACAACAACAGCAAGAGACCAGGGCTCCAAGTTTATGAGACTGATAAAAGCAAGCTTCTAGAGGCTAAGCTCGCTCAAAAGCGAAAGAACCCATTTGCCAAGTAAGTTATCCACTCCGCTTCGCAAACCCAATCACGCTCTTCTTCCTTCAGATCCACAGACGATGCCAAGAAGCAGCGTATAGACCCAGAAGTGCCGAACGTCGAACCGGTGGTCACCGCCTCCTCCTGCTTTGTGCGGGAAACTCCCACTCGTCCGCCGCCCGCCAAGTTCGTGCTGCAGAAGTATGACCCTCAGGCCTTTGCCAAGCTGTTTCAGCAGCAACAGACCAATGCAGAGGACGAGGATGATGCAGAGTTGGCCGCCCGCCAGAAGCACACCGCCCACCTTCCAGTGGATTGGAGCCTAAAGACGCGCGCCCGCTTCTTCTGCCCCACGGAACTGCCGGCTATCCAGCTAAAGACCTCTCAGCTGGCCAGCGGACTCACCAGCTTCGTGCGCTGTATGGATCCACAACGGACAGAGAGCACGCTGGATATTTCGGACGCCACGCGGTTCAACCAGTGCACTTACTACTGGCAGCACCCACACCTGCCTTGGTTGACCCTTTTCCCTCGCACCGCCAAGGAGAACGTGGGCGTGGTCGTGGGCGAGCGGGAGCGCAAAGCGCTGGCTGAGGAGTGGGACTACAGCTTCCGCGGATTGTTTCAGCTACTGCGTGCCCGCCAATGCCCATACTTCTACTTGTGCGCCAACACCTTTACGGTGCTGTTTCGAGCTGCCGGAGTGGGCGGTCGGGCGGAGAGCCATGCCCTGGTAACGCCGTCGACACGCGGAATGCGCCAGACTCTCAGGCAGGAGGGAATCGAGTTCAGCATGCCCCTAAAGACCGAGTCCAATGGCAACGCACACGACAATAGCTTTCCCGAGGAGAGCACTAGCAGCTCCATGGGTCAAGAAACGACCGAGGACGCTGCTCCGCCAGACAAGGAAGATGAGGACGAGGAAGAGGACTGGCTGGAGAGCTTGGGCGTAGACGATCGCGAGCTGCGCCGCATTCAATCATCGCATGCAAGAAAACAGCAGGCCGCCGAGATGCGAGAGGATTTTAGCGACAACTCTCTACTCGTCATCGATGGCGTCGAGTGCCAAGGATTCTTCAGTTACCTCTTGAACGCCAAAAGCGCCATCAGCACAGTAGGCCGACTGGCAGGAGTGCCACCAACCCTACTGTCCCCCGTGGCGTTCCCAAAGGCCACTATGCAGCATTTGGTTCCGCGCTCCAAGAAGGTCCGCCTGGACGGCGTAGACTACTTCAGCGTGGATATTAAGGGCCTAATTCTGCCCACATTCCTGCCCAGCGTGGCCGAGTTGCTCTGCGAGACGCGCCAGATGTTCAGTTCCACGCTGGCCAGTAGCACAAACACGCTGGCCTTCAGTAAGGCCACCCAGAAGCTGCTAGAGAGTCCGGAGACCGCGCAGCCGGATGGAGAGGGAGATGATGCCGCCGGGCAGGTCTTTGGCGAGCAAAACCTCTCCGAGTGCGGCCTGCTGCCTGGAGTAGTGGGATCCATCTGCCGCACTGGCCAACACGCCGTTGGTCTTCTCGAGCGTGTTTGCTATCAGAGAGGCGAGGGATACGCATGGAGCTAGAAAGCACCCTGTCATTAGCAAAAGGATCGCGTTGAAGGGCAGCTTGCGTTGTTGCACTAATCTTAATCTGTATATTTTGTTACGTGAAATAAAAATGTGTGCTAGCGAAGAGAAGATATTTCAACTGACTATTTTTAGAAGGCAACTTTCACTGTGCTCTTTTTCCCCCAACACACTCATGGAATTTTAAAACCACCTTGTTTGTGCTTAATCAGCCTTAATCTTAGTGTATATGTATATTTGTGTAAAGTTGTATCTTAGCTAATTGTCTACCATGATCAGCTCGTCGATGCTCCAGTCCTCGTAGGAGTGATCCGGCAGGTATCGGCGAATGATGATGGGGATCTTTTTCTGCTTGAGCTCCTTCATGGCGATCTGCAGCGGGTCCGTTTCTCCGTCCAACTCCACCATGATGGGTGCGCACATGGCGATCTGGAGTGCCCGGGTGCCCAAGACTCTGGCTCGTTCGTATTTCGTCATGTACTTAGTGGTGATTCGCTTAGACTTGGGCACACCCCTCCGCCCGCTCCACCAGGTGCTATGATTTCGATGTTGTCTACCTCCTCTTCTTGGTTGATATCCTCATCCACATCCTCGTCAACATCGTCGAAATCGTCGCCGCCGACGCTGCAATAAGAGACATTTACCATTAAGAATACTTCAATATTAGACTATTCTGCTTGGACTTACTCATCGTTATCGTAGTCGCCGTCATCCATTGTTTTTCTTAGTTTTTATAAATAAATGAAATAATGAAAGTTCGGCGTGTTTTGCACGCGTCGCCGACTCTTCCTCTTTCTACAGTGCGCTTTGCAATACTTAAATCCAGTGCGCATCAATCACAGTGGCTTTCAAACTGTGTGGATGTATCGAACTGCAACTATCGATAAGCAAAACTGAAAACTGAAGGAAACAAAATGTATTGTCTTATAGTAATCGCAGCAACATTTGTAACGTTTGTTCATTCAAACGAATAATTATACTTTAATAAATTAATTTCTTGTTAGGAAAATTACAGAATTATTTTATACGATTTTGATTTTAGCTTTCTTAATTAAATTAATTCCAATTGCTGAACACATGAAATATCCAATATTATTTTTTTTTAAATTTTGAATATGCTTGGGTGGCTTTAGGATAAGACCGAAAATTATTTAATAATATAATAATTATATTAAGATAGCTAGATAGATAGATTAACAGATATTGAAGATAAATTCCGCTTAACCAAATTAAAAAAATATTTTTTAGTGAGACTCTTGCTTGTTGTTTTAAAGAAGGAAATAATATTATTATAATTTAAACGAATTGAATATTTCTCTATTAATACTCACTTTTTAATTTGATTTATTGACTGTGCAATTTAAACTGACTGAAATCCATCACCTATAAGGACACTTGACATGTTCGATTTCCGCATGATCTACAGATAAACTTTGTTGAGTTCCAGGTCGAGAAGCTCGAAAAGTACTAACCGTAGGATTCCGGAAGTCCTCTGGGTTGATATGATCGTTGGGGTGACCGAGTTCTAGGCGCACGCACGATTGGAGGGTGGGATGTGTATCCAGAAGGTCCTTGCAGTGGTGGAGAAGGAAACTCGAGAGGACCTGGCCGAGGTGGATGAGACCTCTCGCGTGAAGGATACTGCGGTTCGTAGTCGTAGTCGACGCAGGTGCGAATGGACACGTTTCTCCTCCTCCCGCCAGGTCCTCGATGGGTGGCATCCCTATCGAACCGATTCAGGTCGAAGTTGACCAGGGGATCCACCTCCGGCATTCGCGTGGTTCTGGGGGGATGCGGGTAGTACGGATCCGGGGGCTGCTGGCAGTTTCCCTTCAGCGCCTGGACAGCGGGCTGCAAGGACTGCGCGGAGACGCTCCGTGGGAGCACAACAGGGGGTTCTGCCTCGGGGAAAAGTGCCCCTTCGGGAACAACCGCTGTTCTGGGATGGAGCGCCACAGGGTACGCATCCGGGTGACAGACTTTAGGCCTCCGGCTCACCCTCCCAACGACACCTTCGTTTCCGGAGCTGCGGCAAGCCCGCTGCCTCACAGGTTCAGGAGGCGAGGAACAGCAGCACCGATGACGGGGCTTCGGGGGAAGAGCGCAACGGCAGCCCGCACTCGAGGTCACAGGAGGCGGAGGCGGAGGTGGAGGAAGAGGGAGAGGAAGAGGAGGAGGAGAACAGCAGCAGCCGGTTTCCGCGTTCAGTAGCCTGAACCTGTGCGCCGGCTTCTGCGATCGCACCACGAAGCAGTGGCGACTGCGATTCCGCTCGGGGTTCCGGTGGCTTCCGTGGAAGACCTCGTCATCGCAACGACAGTCTGGCGGTCTCCGGGCCACCTGGGTGGAGCTCGGGTTGTTCCCTGTCCGAAGGAAGAGAGTGTACGTTCAAAGTGAACGGTGGAGAATTCGCCCCTGGTTTTACTTGCCCATCATCGGTCACATTGGCTTTATTGTCCCGAAAGGCAGGAAAACGCTATAATTTAGGATAGTCCGAAATGTGTGAGTACTGTTGACGTGTTCCGAGTGTTTCGATCTGAGCTGCCTGCCCGCTGTCGCCTGCTGGGATCCGGTCTCCTCCAGCTGAACCGTCTCACTGGATGGAGCACTTCTTCTGCTTCTTCTGCGACCGGCAGTGACCGCAGGCGTTCTGGTTGACCGGCTGTCCCGGATGGTTCCCCTGGCGGTACGGCTGCGGACCTGACCGATTCACGCCCTGCCCGCAGGTCACGTGCATGTGGGTGGGCTGTTGCTGCTGGGCCGGCTGGCACATCGCCTGCTGGGGGGCGGGGCCACCGGCGGGGCGCAGTGGCACTCCGCCTTGGGCGGCTTCTCGCGGCAGGTGCAGCGCGTCTCCAGGGCGGGCGGCTGCTCCCGCGGCGGACGGCTGCAGGTGATGTGGTCTGCCTGGTATTGCGGGGGCGCCGATCCACGGGTGCGGTTCTGGGTGCAGGTGCACTCCACTGTGGGTCCCGCGCGGGGCGGGTAGAGGGTGCAGGCGGCGTTGTTGTCTGCTTGCGGCTGGTACGAGCTCACCTGGCACCCTCCGGCCGGCTGCCCCTGCCCCTGCCCCTGTGCCTGGGGATACGGACAGCTCTCCGGCTGCTGCTGCGGCTGGTGGGCGTACGAGGGCGGCGGCCGGTGGGGCGGATGCTGGGGGGCGGGGCACCGCCACTGGTGCCGCACGGACAATTGTTGCACTTGCCACACGGAGATGCTGGCGGCGGAGAGGTTAGCGGTCTGCCATTGGCGGTGAACCCACTCGATACTTACACATTTTCCAAAAAAAGAAGTTCAATTTCGATTTTCCCTACAGGCTGTATTACAGGCAGTTAGACAAACTTACAAACTGACAACTCTGGACGGGAATCTGAATACGGATATTCCAGTTTCGAGTTCATGGCCGCACTCACTCTTCTTTCCTTTCCTTACCTTTTCCTTAGTGAGTGAAGCTCCCAATATAGAGATTTAAAAGCATCTTTATCCTAACTAACAACTCGACAAGACGGCTAATTACAGTAAACAAAGTTTTTCATTATATTAAAAAAGTTTGACTAAAACCGTAATATAATAATATCTAAGAATTTAAAACAAAAAACGCCAGAGTCATGCCGTGGCACCAATTTAAAATAAGTTAAATAAATACATTTCACTTTATGATAAACAATAATTAAATGTTCAAGAAAAACTAGTACTAAACTATTTTGGGTCTTCCACTTGGAATCTAATAAATTAATCAATAAACAAGTTTATAAAAATAAAAATCAATATTTCTTAAATTTTATGTTTAAATTTAAAGCTATAATGTCGATTAGTCGTTTGTTCCTTACAGAAGAAAATGGTTTTCAAATGCTTTTATAAAATAGCGCAGGAAAATTTCAGAAAGTAAATGTAATTGAAATTGTTTCAAATTAGTAAGATAAAATACAATATTTAAAAAAAAAAGTCAAAAATATATAAAACTGCATAAGTTTATTACCAGAATCCAAATCTTGATCAGCTAAGTTCACTCGTTTCTATCTAAGTGGTTCTTTAACTTTCCAAATACAAATTTTGATATGTACGTACATCGTTAATTTCGACCGATTGATGTTCACAGCAATTTATGTATTGGGCTTAAGCTAAAATTTATATCGAAATTATACAAACAAATTGTCTGTTTGATTGCCAAAATATTAATAACAACGCTCCTTAAATTTGATTTACAATTAAATCTTTCGTTGCTAACTGTGTTTGGTGCACCAACTAAAGTCGGATTATGTCTTCGCTAGGTTAGGATGGTGAATCGAAAATGGTAGGAGTGTGTATTTGCTAGATTAGGATGGTGAATCTGACATTTAAGAAGGTGTACTTGCTAGGTTTGGAGTTGGGTCTCGCTAAACTAGGAAAGTGTATTAGCGCCCGTAGCGGCTGTTTTTAAAGCTATACATTTTCGGTTTTTGTGGACTTATACCCACTGGTAACACTTGGAAGTTGAATTGGAATTGGTTTTGGAGCTCTACCTCACTGGACTGGTAACACTTGGCCGAGCGGTTCGGACGTATTTTTTGCTCGCTCCGTCGTGCATTTTTAACGGCCACAAAAGTGGAATCCTAGTTGTTCTCGCAAATTCTTTGTGTTGGCTTCACGGATGGAGCAAAACGTCTTGTAGTACCGAGCCAGGATAACGGGATATGTCGAGTCTTAACGTCTGAATTGTTGTATTCCGAATTGATTTCGTGTGTTTGTGTGTGCAAGCTAAGTGTGCAATTGTGCGAAAGTGCAATGCGTTTCCGTATCGAGTTTTCTTGATTTCAAAACACCAAAGAAAAAACAGTGCAACTACAACAAAAGTTTCAGCATTACTTGTATGGATAAGCGGACATACCTGTCTACTAGGTGAGTTTCCAACCAGATTGACAAGTCTTAAACCGGCACTCCAATTGGAAGAACGAGAATAGGGCATCGGTACACTTGCACTTGGGTTCGAATTAAAAGCAGAAATTCAAGCCAGACGCAAATACCATCATACTCACACCCACATGACCTGTGTACGTATACGGGGTGCCCAGCTGAGTTGTTGCTGCCTTCACAGCTGTATTTTGTTCTGATAACGGCACTTGGCGTAGATGAAAATGACAGCTGTCTCTGTCATCACCCCCCTTGCAGCTATCTCCCTCCCACGCACTCCAACTAGAACGAGTAAATCCAGATTTTGGGGCGTATTGGTGAATTGTTATTGTTTTGGGGGTGCTATTTTACTTTTTCCGAAGGTGCACGCAATAAAAACATTTTCTTTCCGGTAAAGAAGATATCGATTAGATGGACACATGTCTTTTAAATATAAAGATTAACGATTTTTTCAAAAACTTATTAAGGAATTATTTATAAATGTAATTATAATACAAACGTAATATTTATAAACTTTTATTTTGTATCACGTATTCTAGATAAAATTATATGTATGCTTCAAGTGAGTATCTACTGTAGACTTTTTCTCCGATACAACCATTACATTGGTTGTATATTTTTCCTTTCTAAATGCATAATGTTGCATTCAATGCGAAAAAGTTCATTTCTGAACGATTTTATTTTCATTTTCGCCGGCCAGCTGCTTAGTAGCCATTATTAATGCCCCTTTACATGTCACCCCAATGCTGTGTATGATATACATAGCTTTGCTATTTTGATTGGGGCTTGCGTGTACCGTCGAAAAGGTCAGACGTGGGTTGATCTGTGGCTGCGGCGAAGCGGGTCAAGATTGAATAACGCCTAAAAAGGTTAAAAAGAGGTTAGGGGTTGTGACCAAAGGAAAGCATTAACTTGTTTTTAGTACTGGCACAAAGACAGCCGTATTTTATTTATCGATGACTCTGTTTCTTTCTATTCCATTTTCCTGTGTCTGGTTATCAGTTTACTTAATGTAGTTCACATTTCCGCTCTGTGTTTTTGTTGTTTCCCCTTCTTCACAAAAATGGCCCGAAATCGACCTACATGTACTAGTCTTTTTAGCTTTGTTAAATAATTATTGCTGTCATGCGCTCTGATATTGGAGTGAGTCAGCAGGGTATTGATATGAGAAATTGGACTAACTTTTATTAAGTTCTTTGAGCTTTTTGGCAAAGCGCCTGATATACTAATATTCTGGAATCAGCATGATTTACTACACATTCTGTAGATAAGCAGAAATGTGTATTTTGAACATCGATTCAAAAAAATTATTATAAAAGCACAGATAAATATTTATCTCTGATTTTAAGTAATTACTACTTCGATGTCAGCCTGTTGAAAGTATTTTAATAAAGAATTGCAAGCAACTACAAATAACTTTTTATAAGAAAATTATTCAGTTAATATTAACTAGTTACCACGTTAACTTCACTTAAATTTGATTCATTCGATCTTATCAACTCTGTATTTTTGTATCCTGTAATAGAAGATCTGTATACAAATATGTGTTGCCCCTAACTTTATACGACGTGTCATGCGGACCCATTCATTTTTCGAGATAAAGTCCAGTCTATACATAGGGTACTAAAGCACTCGATTGTTATTGTTTGAGTTGCTGATAAGCGAGTGCAGATTAAATAGCGCAAGCGAATGGTTTTTCACGAAACAGATACGGAATACAAATCGTCATCATTTCAAATTGTTTTGCACATTTTAGCGAATTTTTAACGCCGCTCTATCCCATCTCATCGCTTGCATGTTCGTTAATAAGTGACATCTAACTAATTGCACGTAATTAAATTAGATACAAAAACCATTTTGTAGTTATTATAAGTGAAGCAGTATTTATTTCAAATACATGAAAAACGTTTATTATCTTACTCAAGTCGTGGCATACAAAGCAAACCCCACGGTATTTTGTGTTAGTCCCCTATCATAAATAGCAAATTACCGGGTTCCGTTTATTTTTCGCTCCCTAATTGCACATTCTTCGCTTAAGTGCGTACATATTTTATTTAATTTACTTTCCGTTCACATATTAACACATTTCCTGAGGGGTCGGCTCTGCTGTTTGTTGGTTTTTCTTTCAGTTTGTGTGGTATGAGTGGTATTTGTGTTTATTTCATTCCGTTCATGATTGATTTGTTCGCCGAAAAGGTAGATTTAATATTTGCTCTAAGGGAACGCTCATTTGGTTTCTGTTGTTGTGCTTATTTATAACAGCGAATTGTATGTGTACCTAATATTAACAATTAATTACTTTTTGGCATAAAGATGGCAAAGCAAATTTACAAGAAATGTTCTCTTCTTCAGATCACTATTTTTAGAAGTCGACTTCATGAGAACACATAATAACTATACTGCAAGGTGTTTTTGAATACAATTAAAAATAATGTGGAACTTTTAAAGGTGATGGCAATAATTCTCAATGCCAAAAAGCTAATATATTATTTAAACGCAGCTTTATTTGCAGGTATTTATAATGGGTACGCTCCTACCCAATAGAGAACAAAATAGCACTTGTGTTTTTATTTGCTTGGCCATTAGCCGGCTTAAAAGGGGTTGTCCTCCTCCAATGTCAATGTGATATAAAGTCAGGAAATGCGACTCAGAGCCAACCGAACTTGCAGCTGGGGTGCAAATGTGGACAAGGTCCGAGGTGGATTTAATGATGCATATTAACCAGCAGCCGGTTATTGCAGCCCGGCCAAGATTGCTCGAGCGATTCAAGGCGAAGGTCGCCGCCGGCTGCACGCAACTCGAGCGGGGAGAACTCGTTTTCCAAGTGGTTCGGCGGAGTCCGAACACAGCTTCCTCGGTCCGCTTTTTGTCTCTGAGTCTGGGCTGGGGCGATTCTAAAGCCGATTTTTGCGGGCTGTAGGTGCCGTCGTTCGCCGTTAACCTTGAAGCGTTTCGTTGCTCATACGCCGCGTGAGTCGGGCTTTGTCAGTGCGAGTTCTGCGTTCAGGCATTCAAATGTGTGCGACTCTCTAATTAGCAACAGCACAGTCTGCTTTGCTAGTCACCTAGCTAAACACCGAACACTTCTCGCCTTGTTTGCATGTTTTTTCAGCCACACATGCTAGTTTTTAGACTGTTCTCCTCGAACGTGTAATACGGCACTATTTAGATGGCGGTGATTTTTGAAGAGCTTTGGAGATATTTATCTTAGAGCATATTTGTTCATTTTTCTTTGGCCAATTTCAAAGCAATTGTTTACTGCTGCTAAATGAGAAATCATAAAATTTACGATCGGAACATGAATGGAATTGAGAACCTGTTCGGTTCTGGTTAAGTGGCCAATGATTCAGACTGCAACTTTTAGTACTTTTAAAAGTATTTTATAGTTTTTACTGCTGCCATTTTAGATGCTCGTTGTATACTTACGAACTGGCTGAAATCTTGTACATTCCCCCTCCCCAAAAAGTGCAATTAAGAGTTCACTCAACTCATTTTGGCTGGTATTGCTGCATTGTATTTTATCTTTTCCCCTCCCATTCGACGTCGAACAATTTAAACCAGTTTTTTACATTTGCGCATTTTTCCTGATTGTTGAGTTCAGTGAGCTATGAGCACGAATCGCGCAATGTACAAGTATAATACATATATAAATTATAACTTTTGAGACTGTGAAATTTTCTGACTTTGATAAGCCATTCACAAAGGCAAAAAGAAACCTTGTACAAGAATTTTGAAAGCGATTTTGCAAGGTGATTGGCAACTTGTCAGTTTGCTATTTATGGAATATATAGCGTTTATAATCAGCTCGTGCCCTACAATAACTAGAATTTGACTTATTAAATTCGGTTTATGGAAGCTCGTGGAGTCAATATCACCAATAATAAAAGCTGTTTTTCAAATGGGCAAACCTTAAAATATTGTACGTTAGATTGCTTTATGACATAATAAATAAATTGGCAGACTTATTAAAGTTACTGGTAAATAAAATTTGTTTCGATTATTTCTATGTCGTTGTGTGAATCATAGGCATTAAAAAGTTTATTGAAATTAAGAATACTAAGTAGTTTCTAATAAGTGACACGTGCTTTGAAAAATTCTTTATACATTTAGTTTTCAGATACATATGTCAAAATAATTTATTCATAATTGTTCACTAAATTACTTTTTAATAGATTTTGTTGTGTAATTTAGGCGTTACAGCTGACTTTATGGTTAATGAACCATAAACATATAGAATCACCATTACTAACAACATTTGTTGGCAACTGTCAGTGTTCATTGAAAAATTAACGTGGGCATGCTAATGACAAAACATCGGGAAAGTGGGGCTATTGTCGGATCTTTAAAAAGGTCACTGTAGAGTTGATTAAGTCACCACCTTTGCAAGTCCCCTCTGCCTTTTCCATCGTATTTTCATTATCGACACCTTTCAGTAAGTAATTAAGAGTGGAGCCGCTTCGTAAAGTGCAAAAGTAACAAAGGCGAACATTAAACGGAAAGAGAATGGATCGTCGTAACTCAGATTTATTGTGAGGAGTAACTGAAATTTCCCAACACTTCTTCCTCCTGCACTCTTTTCCTCTCTGACTAACTTTGAATACAGTAGAGCATTGCTAAGACTAACTTCTCCCTGCACAAGCTCAGGTGTGACAAACAAGTTTATACTTGTATATTTTCTGTTTCTGTAAATACACAGAGTGATTTTCAAATTAAACAAATTGGATAATCAAATAAACTTACCAATTGGAAATGGGGCGTCAAATTTATTATAGTAGGGTCATATACTCTTGTTAAAATATAGCTAAAGCAATTAATTGTGTTTCTTTTGTATTCCAAATTTGTGATGAGTTTGATTTCCTTTTTAGAATGTTTAAAATGTAAGACATCTTTTGATGCTCTTAAATAGAACGACTAATAATGCAAGACAAAAATACTTCATTCTTATTAATCGTATTTAACATGAAAATGTTAGTTGTGTAGTGTATTTTCTGTAGTTAGTTTCTCGAACAGTTATTCAGGCTCCACTGTATTTCTAATTGAAACCTGTTTTTTTTTCCCGCAGTGCCGACAAAGCCGACGACGTTGCCGTAGACGGAGACGAAGACGACGGCCAGTCGAGATGACGCAGACCAAGCAGCCGGCAGGAGGGTCGTCCACCTCGGGCGCAGAGTTCGTGGCCCCCGTCACCTCCACGGGCGCCGCCAGGTTCACGCCCTGCTCCGCCTCCGCCCACGACGTCTTGCTGAACAACTTCCAGCTGAAGAAGAAGAGCTACCGCGTCCTGCTCCACGGCCAGCAGTTGGTGTGGGAGCGCCTGCAGCGCATCAAGCAGCCGCGCCAGGGAAACGAGACCAAGGCTCCGTTGCCCCCAGACTCGCCCTCGCAGCCGGGAGGGATCTGCTCGTACGGCCCACAGAGCCATGTGCTCCACCTGGACGACGTGGTCAGCATCAGGAGCGGGGACACCAAGACGAGCTCCCTCAAGCCTCCCACTCCGCCGGGATCCGAGCGCAGTTCCCGAAGCAGCGGTGAAGCTCCGCCGGGGAAGCCCACCAGCCAGTACCTGACCATCAACTATGCCCTGCGGTTGAGCAAGTCGCAGACGGACTGCAACCGCTGGGAGTTAAGAAGGCTCACCTTCTTCAACTCGGACCCCTACATAGTGAGGCAGTGGGACCAGGAGCTGCAGATCCGCCTGCAGAGCTCCTCGGCCACCAGGCTGCGCGTGCGTCGCCTCTTGGTGTTCATCAACCCCTACGGAGGCCGCAAGGCGGGATCCCAGACCTACGAGCGCCATGTCAGACCCATTTTCCAGCTCGCCGGAGTGGACGCCACCTGCATCACCACCCAGAGGGCCAACCAGGTGAAGGACATTCTGCTGAGCCACGACCTGAGCGTCTACGATGCCGTTTGCTGCGTCGGAGGCGACGGAACGGTGGCGGAGGTGATCAACGGACTGATATTCCGGCGGATGCGGGAGTTGGGCCTGGACGAGCAGCGGCCTCCCTACATTCCCAGACCGGCGCTGCCAGTGGGCGTAATCCCGGCGGGCAGCACCGACACCATAGCCTACAGCATGCATGGCACGGCCGACGTGAGGACGGCGGCCATCCACGTGATCCTGGGCCAGCACCGCGGCCTGGACGTGTGCAGTGTCAGCAACGGGCAGTCGCTGCTGCGGTTCTGCGCCAGCGTCTTGAGCTACGGATACCTGGGCGACGTGGCCGCCCAGAGCGAGAACTACCGCTGGATGGGACCGAGGCGGTACGAGTACAGTGGCGTCAAGGCCTTCCTCAGCAACCGGGGCTACGATGCCGAGCTGAGGATGCTGGAGGAGCCGGACCTGCTCCTGACCACGCCGCTGGAGGAGGTGCCGCAGAGTCCGGACAGCGTGTGCTCGCTGGGCGAGTCGGTGCCCTCCGTCTGCTATGCCAATTGCCAGCGCTGCAGCTTCGCCAGCAGTATTCAGGAGCAGCGATCCTCGCTGTTCGTCCAGGAGGAGTCCAGGGCTTCGGAGCGCGTTCAGCCGGACGAACCGGAGGAACTCCACCTGGCCCCCAGTGAGACTGCGCTGCTCAGGCCGCGTCCACGACCGGGGAACCTCCAACTGCCCACTGGCTCCATTTCTTCGATGAGAAACCTCGGCAACGAGCAGTGGAAGGTGGTGCGTGGCAACTTCTTCATGATCTGCGGGGCAAACATCACCTGCGCCTGTGCCAGGAGTCCGAACGGCATCTCCCGCTACAGTCACCTGGGCGACGGCTGCCTGGACCTAATTCTGGTAAAGAAGACCTCGCTGCTCAACAACGTACGCTTCCTCCTCAACACGGCGGGCAGGAGCGGAGATATCGTGAGTCAAAATTACTTTAGAATATTTTATTCCGTTTAGTATTCAATTCGGTTTTAGTATTGAAATTTGTTAATTGAATATTTGTTAATGTTAAATCCAACGTCAACTTAACTAACATGTATTTGAACTGCTTTTATTTAGCGCAATCTGCCGTTTGTGGAGGTCTATCGCACCAGGGAATTCCAGTTCAAAACATTCTCGGGCGCTGTCGAAGAGGACTACAGCTTAGCAGGATCTTGTCAGCCAATATCCCCGCCAGGAGACATGTCCAACACCACCTCCCCCACAGAGTTTTCTAGCTGGAACTGTGATGGCGAGGTAGTCACAGACTTGGACATAACAATGAGGTTAGTTATTTGTACCCTTAATGCCAAACCATCGCCTAAAAATGATTCTTATTTTGCAGGTCGCACTGTCAGCTCATAGAGGTGTTTATGCGAGGGCCTCATTCCTATAGCAAGCCCATTAAGGGCGGCACCACGCCCTCAACCCCAAGTAGCTCCAGCGATAATGTCTACTGCTGCTGCAAGGACTAGAAGCTTTAACCACATAGAATTAGCATCAATCATTGGCCGTGACAAGTAGCTCGTAGTTTTGCGTAGGGTATCCTTATTCGTATTTGTATCATGTTAAAGAGCGGGTCTCCCCGTCATTGTTTTTAGCATAGCTCAATAAAGCAACTGATATTATCGACTGTATTAAGGCATCTGAAAGATGCAGAAGCGAACCGAAACATTCCCCTCGGAAGGCGTGCATTATTCACATACCTATATATTTACATATTGTGTACTGGTAAACTGGCAATAAAAACGTGTCTATATGTATTTATTCTACGAGATTTTTTTAATTTATATGTTGACCTACAAAATGAAAGATTGTCCCTATTCCCAAAAATCTTATTGATCGTAACTTTCAAATAATACTTTTGTTCCACAAAATTTAAAATTAAATTGGGTTAAGGTAAAGTTGTAAAAAAAAATGCCTTGTGAAACATTTTATTTTCTCACCAAATCAGAATAATGTCTATAGCTTCGGTAAGCCGAAGCTTATATACCCTTGCAGACATCAAATATGTCGAACCAAATACATAATACATACATATAATACCCTTTGCTCTGAAAGGGTAAAAACAATTTAATAACAAAAATTTGTTTGGATAAAAGAGCTAAAGTTTAAGGCGTTTTAATCTGTGAGTTTGAGGCTGCCGCCAGAGCTAGGAATTTTTCAAAAACTACCCAACCTTTTTCAATTATCCTAATTCGGGCAAAGTCACAATACTGTTGCATATTATATTTTTAAGTTTAAACAATTTTGGTCAAGTTCGTTCTTAACATATAATGTTGTTAAAAAAATGTTATGGTTTGCTTAGAAATACAAAAAAATATATAATGTTAAAATCAAACTACTTTTTAACATATTAAAAATTTTAGTTGTATTACGCGGGCGCTGGCGATACATCGTTGGCCTTAAAATGGAGTCGATGTTGGAATGGATCGATAGTATCGATGTTGAAATCGATTTCGCAGCTTTTCCGACATCATCTGGCCACACTGATATATTTGTGCCCGTCATTCCCCGGTAGTGACAAACAACTCAGCATTTTGCTCAAAATCTGCCCCAAACCGAGTAAATTACAATGTTGAACAACTACAACAGCCTGGCACAGCCCCTTTGGCAGAACGGACCCACTCCCGGCGAGTTCTACAACTTCACCGGCGGACAGACGCCCGTCCAGCAGCTGCCCCGCGAACTGACCACGGCAGGTCCCTATGGAACCAAGCGCAGCACGTAGGAATTGTGGATTTTACCAGTCTAACCCATATCATTTACCTTGACCCATTTTTCGCAGATCATCAATCACCACGGGCTCCTCCGTGCTGGGCATTCGTTACGACGGCGGCGTGATGCTGGCCGCCGACACGCTGGTTTCCTACGGATCTTTGGCCCGTTACCAGAACATCGAGCGCGTCTTCAAGATCAACAAGAACATTCTGCTTGGGGGCAGCGGAGATTTCGCCGACATTCAGTCCATCAAGCGCAGCATTGACCAGAAGATGATCGAGGACCAGTGTTGTGACGATAATATCGAGATGAAGCCTAAGGCGCTGGCCAACTGGATGACCCGGGTGCTCTATAACCGGCGCTCTCGCATGAACCCGCTCTACATCGACGTGGTGGTCGGCGGCGTGGACAAAGAGGGCACCCCATATTTGGCCAACGTGGATCTCCGTGGTCGCTCCTACGAGGACTACGTAGTGGCCACCGGCTTCGCCCGCCATCTAGCCATTCCGCTGGTGCGCGAGAAGAAGCCCAAGGACAGGGACTTCAACGCCGTAGAGGCGTCCCAACTGGTAAGTACATATGTGTTTTTAATTCGGAATTCGAGCCTAAAGAAATTGCAAAAACAAAATTTTTTTAGATCCGAAAGTGCATGGAGGTCCTTTACTACCGCGATACCCGTAACATTTCCCAATACACTGTGGGCGTCTGCAGCGCCAACGGATGCGTCGTGGAGGGACCTTTCCAGGTGAACGAGAACTGGACTTTCGCCGAAACCATCAAGGGATACTAGAATTTTTGATCCCCACTGATCATAGTTAAGGTTAAGCTCGGCGGTTTATGTATGCATTCAAATCATTTCTTCAAGTATAATTTTGTTTCATGATTTATTGAAAATAAATGTGGATAAAATACTACTACTATATATACTATATCTTTAGCTCAAAGTTTAAAACGTGGTTTGCTGTTTCGGCCAATAGAACCGTTTTCTATTCTCTCTAGTAGCTGGTTACCGCAAAGCCAAGATTTTGTGTCGATTTTTAGTTCCTCCTTTTCAACCCTCGCATAGATTAGGAAAATTAATTGCTCGGCTTGAGCCTTTAGTCAACTTCCAACGATTTTTCAGTTTAACAATTGAAATAACTTAACTACAATAGTTATTTTCACCGGATCGGATATTCCATTTTCAGAATTGGTTTTTTAATTAATACGAAAAATACACCTCTCGGATCAATTTGGGTACATAATTTAATTAAATTAATAATTCTGGCTAAACAAACATACATATAATAAATTTGATCCGAATGTGGAATTCTTCAAAGGATTGCTGCTTGGAATACGTGTCTTAAGTCGCCCATGCTCGTCCCATGTGTTATCCAAAAGGCTTCTTAATTCAGCATGGTGTGCCGGTCGTAAATGTGGCGCCTCTGCTCGCGCACCTGCCGCTTCCACTTGTCCTGCTGATGGCCCACGCGATTGAGCACATTTGCTCTGGCACTGAGCTCCTGGTTATTTACTGCAGGTAGAGGCGGCGTCGGCTCGTCCTGGTTGAAAAAGGGGAGAAATTTGGAATTAGTCTGGCGGACGTGGCATGATGTGATTCAAAACTTGGGTCTTGGGTTAGTGGTGGGTGTCCATATGGACGGGTGAAGCGGGTTAGAAACTTAAAGTATCAAACAAAAATGAAACAAGAAGGGTTGTGGAAATTAAAATCTATTCAAAAGTGTGGTGATTCTTTATTGCCAACTAGTTGAGCCGCATCGGCGTCAACATCGTCATCATCATCTTCGCCTTGGACTGTAACTAGGAGGCTATACTGAATGCCCTTGTATCTAGAATGTTTGCTATGTACATCTTCGTTGGTGTGCTCCTGGTAATTCGCCTTCACTCGCTTGTTCAGCAACGGGTCCAGGCACATCAGGAAGAGCATGTATATCACTAAAATGGAGATGATCCAAATTACAATGATGACCACGACCTAGAATCAAGAGGGTAGGCTTAGTCGAAAAAGTCAAAGCGCATTAGTTTGTGCCAACCTTGATCAGAGTCGTATTTCTCGCCACATGGGAGCACTTGCACTCCGCGCATATCGGTAGTTCCTTGCCATTGGCGTCCAGGCGAGGCAGTAGAGCACCAGCACATACACTAAAATTTCACAATAAAATTGTCAATAATATTTTGAAGTAATGGTTTAAATACCCAGATTTCAGATAGTTAAAATTGTTCTAAAACAGTTTACAACAAAGGAAAGGAATTGTTTTAAAAAAAATTAATTTTTTTATTAATTCTACAGTTTTTAATTTGGTTTTAAATTATTCGGAAACATTTAATAATTATTACACAAGTTGCAAGTTGCTTGTTTTTGTAAATAAAATAAGAGAGAAGGTAAAACAATTCTTACATAAATTAATGCGCATTTAAAAAAAAATATATAAATACAACTTAAAACAGTACTTTTAAAAAATATTTCCAACACCATTGTGAAATGCTTTGCCAAATTAAGTTAAAAAAAAATAAAGTGCAATTGTTAGTTGATATTTAAGGTCCTAAACAATAGGTATTTGTAGGTATAAGAAGGCGGCTACTATTGCGTTGCCGGTTGGTGCGGTAGCACTTACCATTCGGTAGACGGCGTTGCCGCGCTGCTGGTATTGGAAGAACTCTGGCTGGGAGCAGCGAGCGGAGACTTGCCGATGACGTTGGGCAGAGGTGCCGCAGTGGAACCTGGACTGGCGCCCGCCTGCTTGGCGGGTGCCACTGGAACCGATGAAGCCGCAGGTGAAGCGCTCAGCTGGGTGTTGTTCTTGTTGTTGTTGCTGCCACCCACTGGCAACGTCTGCGCTGCAGTCTCAGCCTTTTTTTTTTTTTTGGACGCAATAAAACAAGTATTAGTGGACCAGTCATGTGACCTGGCTAATTGGGGGACTCACCCATGTCACGCCAACCAAATAACATATCGCCAACAGCACAGCGTAGACCAACAGACGCTTGTGTGCCATTAATTTTTTTTTGATTTCAATTTTTTCACTTTTCTTAACTTTTATTTGGAGAAGGCTGCTTGCAAAATTTGCAGTGTGACCGCTCTTTGCTGCAACGGAATAAATACCAAAGTTAAACGGCTCTTGGAACTAGTTGTTTTCGAAATTATGCATTTCTTGGCTCGTACATATATTTGTTTCATTGCCAGCAGAGAATTTTTATCAGTTGGTTGATTATGGATAATCTGCACGAAAAACAGTGTAGAACAAGTAGGTCGATGTGCATATATAATGCCAATATAAGAAAACGTCATAGAACACAAAAATAATTCTAACTTATATTTCATCGCCTGCGATACAAAAACAGACCATTGGCTACGTTCTAATCGATGTTTTATTTTTTTTAAGGAACACTAGCTTATTACAGTACTATTCAATGAATTAATACGATTAATTACAAATCGGCGTATGTTTATGTTTTAAAGGCGCTCGCCATTTACTGATCCAGTGATTATGACTGGTGAACGCACCCAAAAAAAATGAGTATATACAAAAGTTAATTAGTATTTTTGAGGAAAACTGGCAATGCGAATTAAACAGCGCCTGGTCACACCGGCGTTCAATCCCTGAGCTGTCAAAAAACGATTTGTTTGCGTGTTCAACGGAGTTTATTATTAATCTTGCCGGCACAAATTGGCCTGCTAAGATACAAAGGATAAGATAACACGACTCGGGCAAGACGAGATGCAGCACGGACTACTCCTTGCGGGCCTGGCCCTGGTCAGCAGCCTCTCAAGCGGTGCCGGTAAGTTGTGACCCCAAGGGAAGTTGCGTCTATGTGGTGTTCTGTGATTGGCCACGCCGCATGTTGGCCCTTGGATGCCTAAGTCTGCCCATCATTAATATTTTTCTCGGAACACTATCTCCCTAACTACGAAAACAGCAACGGAATCCAATGTGGTCACCTGCGGCTCTATTCTGAAGCTCCTGAACTCGGATTACTCCTTCCGCCTGCACTCCCATGACGTCAAGTACGGGTCCGGATCAGGGCAGCAATCGGTGACGGGCGTGGAGCAGAAGGAGGACGTGAACAGCCACTGGGTAGTGAAGGCCCAGACGGGCGAGCTATGCGAACGGGGCGAGCCCATCACCTGTGGATCCACCGTGCGCCTGGAGCACCTGACCACCAAGAAGAACCTGCACTCGCATCACTTCTCGTCGCCACTCTCCGGGGAGCAGGAGGTGTCTGCCTACGGAACGGATGGACTTGGCGACACCGGCGACCACTGGGAGGTTGTGTGCTCCAACGAAAGCTGGATGCGAAGTGCCCACGTGAGACTGCGACACATCGACACCGGCATGTACCTCGGCATGTCCGGCCGCTCCTACGGTAGACCCATCTCCGGCCAAATGGAGATCGTGGGCGTGCACAAGCCGCAGCACGGAACGCGCTGGACCACGGCAGAGGGCCTGTTTATCGTGCCGAAGGAGAAGAGCTCAACGCACGAGGAGTACGCCCACTCAGAGCTGTAGTAGCGATAAGGCGCATCGACTGCTATAGTTTTTTACTACGTTTAGTTGTGTAAATTATAATTTAGTTGAATTTTTATGTGAAGCGATAGCAAAGAGAGTTCATTTTGTATTAGACCCACAAAGCAAACCAACAAATTAAAACTATTTAAATTCAATCAGGGAATTTGATACTTGTCGAACACGACTTTTACTTTGGGACACACGCAATTTAACCTTTTCTGGGTAAGTATAAGCTTTTTAACATAGCTTTGTAAAATTCACTGTCTTTAATGTCCCCCTCGGTTTCGGAATCTATCGGGCATTGTTTTTTTGTACCAATCAAAAAAATAAAAAACCCCAGTAGGGCTCATCACTTAACACACTTTTACAGAGTATAACCCATAGCTTGCGGTATTTTTTGTTAAACAAATTTTAGGTATGCTGCGTTATTACAATTAAAATCGCTATCTATCAGTTATCAACCAATAATTTCTATAATAGGAACCATAAATATAATAGAGTTTTACAAAAGAATGATAACGGGGTGTCGATATCTTTGAACATTCATCAGAAAAAGGGATATCTTGACCCTATGGGAGTACTTTAAATTAAAGCTCAGGCAACTATCCTTACAAATGCAATCGGAGGGACTCGCGTTCCGCGGATGTTTCTCCCCATTCCCTCGGATTGTTTTTGTTTGCATGCATAAAACAATGGAGCTTATCCCAACCATGTAAGCTATGTAAATACATTTTGCCATTGCTCGCGGTTCCCTTGCTCTCCCCTAGCAATATCGTCACGTCCATTATCTGCTCGTCTGTTTTGTGTTTCTTTTGTTTAGGGCATTGTCAACGCTTTGTCTGCTCATCCTCCTGGCCATATCCTCATCCTCTGTCTCGTCCTTCCCAGCCCCGTAACCCGAACTGATTGTGAGCCAGTAAGGTCAAAATGTTAGCAGACCCCAGCCAACCCACGCAGTCATTTATAGATTTTCATAATCGGGTTGTCCTTGTAACCATTTGTGCTCAAATAAGAAATTGAAACAAGGATGTCGAGAGATGTTGCCGTGGCAGAAAAGTGTTTAAAGAATTCTTGTAAGGAAGTTTTAGAAAGTCAACTATGTTTTAATACACAACGATGGACTTCAGTTCACAATCACATTTGCTAAACTTTTTTAAAGATATTATTCCTCTCTAACTCAAACTTCTAACTTCTTACTTATCTAACTGAAACGATTCTTTACCACTATACTCTGCGGTTTTCTTGAGGGTAAGCCTGTTTATTTGGCGTGATCGACTTCAGCTTATTCAGACGCCCAATTTAAATTTATACACTAGGTTTACATTTTAAATTAAATCGACATTATTACCACCTGCTGTGCCAACATATAATTTAATTTGGAGTCAATTATCTCTTACAGGTGTTCATAATTTCCGTTTTGTGCGTTTATTGATTTACGTTTAACGCGTTAACGCCGCATTCACTGCTCGCATAACAGATACATATATGTTTGTATCCCCCTTTCCGGGATTCCTTTGTTTTGTAGTGGCACGTCCTTGTATACATTGTATCCTTTTTGAATTGTATTTCCTATATGACTACTGATAAGCAGAACTCCTCGCTGGGAGAACGATTTGAAGGTGGGCCTACATAAAGAATAATATGGGGCAGTTTATATCACCCTTTTTAAATGGTAAGTAGCGGCAAAATGTAAAATTCAAGATGAAAAAGGTGACGGACAGTTATCCTAATGCAATAGTAAGTTAGGATTAATATTGCTTAAATCTATAAAATGACTTTAAAAATTTAGTAAATCAATCTAATTTTTGTTATACATGGGCGTGTGTGCAGTGTATTTGATTGCTTAGAATACAAGTGTAGCTTCCGTTAGCCATTATCGATTCCTGTTTATCGGCGGCGGGTAGCCTTTGAAAGCGGTGAAAACTGAGTGAAGGACTCGCTGCCTGAGTGACTGACAGATTGACACAAATGTTTGAATGTTTCAATGTTTGTTGGTCTGCTCGCTGGTGTGTGAAATGCCTGTTTGAGTGTGAGGGTTTCCCTTCAGGTTGCGTATACGCACGAGTGGCTGGCAAAACGAAAAACGGTGAGGGAAATTCTCTGCATACTTACGGGCGCCCCCTGACCAATGTTTTGGAAAAGCCTACAGGTTCAAACCTTGTAGTAGCACTTATTATTTAAACCATAAACCCATTAAATTTAAAAGCTATACCATAAGTACAAAATAAATATCTCTCACTGAATTAAAATTCATAATATATTTTCAGCATTTCAGCAAAACTATTTTAAGGAATTAGAGTAAGTGCAATCAGCCAGACAAAGTTTTAAAAGACTTTTTGACATGTATCACTATTTTGAATCAATAAAAGCACCAATAAAAAGAAAATCAAAGACTATAAACGGACTTTAATTAGCGTGGGTGCAAAATAACCAAGGAATAATTAAATCATAATTACAAAAGAAGGGCGAAACTTTACAGTAAACAGCAAGAAAGGGCTTACATAACCGATACACGCATTCACACACACACTCGAAGGGTATCGTAACGGTCAGCCGTTAGTCCTACGCTGGTGCGGCTGCGCTGCTACTGCGCTGCAACTGCGCTGCCCACGCACTCGGATGAAAGCGAAATGAAAACATAATTCCAAGAAAGTGCGTGGGAGAGCGCATTAACTAACGACAGCTGTTTATGGTAGTGAAGTCTAAAGCCAAAAGCAATGTTTTAATTATAACAAGAAAAAAAATAAAAAAAAACTTATGTCCATTCTGTATTTTTTGATAAATGCTCATTGAGATATATTTTCTAGCCATTAGCCGGAATATTAAACGGTTAATACTAAAATGTTGATATCGAGTCTGAGAAATTTCATCTAAAGGATCTAATAAAAAACATGAAAGGAAGCTAGCTTCGGCAAGCCGAAGCTTATATACCCTTGCAGTCAATTTCTTCAAGATGACGTTTTCTAACTACTATTGAATTTCGGTTTAAATTTTATCAAAATCGTATAACTCTATCATATAGCTGCCATAGGAGAGATCGAAAAATATATATAGAATTAATAGAAATAAATTGATAACATTGTTGTTCTTTTTCCCACGAGCATGAATTTTTTAAAATCAAGTTTTTTAACAACCCTTAAAATTAGAAAAAAGTTTCATAGGAAAGATTACAAAATCTATATAGAAATAACGGAAATAAAATTATAACATCGTTTTTTTTCATCAGATAAACATTTTCGGAATATAAAGTTTTCTAAGGACTATTGAATTACGAATTAAATTTGATCAAAATCGGACAACTATGTATATCATATAGCTGCGATATGATCTATAGTCGAAAATATGGAAAATTAAAAGAAAAATTGTCATAGCTTCGATGTTGTTTAGCCGTTATGTATTTTGTTTGACATATTTGATGACTGCAAGTAACTTGCACTGAGTGCAAGGGTATATAAGCTTCGGCTTGCCGAAGCTAGCTTCCTTTCTTGTTTTGCAAGAATTTGTTAGGAGCCTGATTGACAATTTTGTTAACGTGAAAAAAGCCAGCTGAACAGCACATGCCTCGTGGGCTTCCTTTTTGCCTTTTTCGTCTGTCTGTCGCTCTGTTGTCGTCTCCAGTTGCCGTTATCGCTGGCGTTGCGCATTCGCCCCGTTGCACCCTGGTCCTCTCTGTCTTCCTGCACTTTTCCCACCCCCCTCTCTCTGTCTCTCTTTATCACTCTCACTCGTGGCGTCTCCTACGCACTTAACATTGAAAACCGAAAACAAGCCCCCAAGTGGCCAGAAAGGCCTGCCATCCGCCACAAGCCCGATTAGTATCCCATCTCTCTGCATCGGCGCACTGAGCAAGTTCAGCAAGGAGAGGCCCTAAAATTTATGGTGCATACCTATAGAATCGTGATAGTGAAAGTTTGATAGCAACAACAATAACTCGTAAGTTTTGAAGTTTACAGCGCGTCTTTCAGACAAAACGCGTGCCCCTAACAGTAGGCAATGCGTTTTAACAGGAACTGTTAACCACGAGGAAACATAGTTTATAAATAAGGGAAGAGTACATCTTTAATATTGTATTTTAACGTCTATTTTAACCTGAAATAAAAATAAAAACAAATTGGACATTCTTGTGCATTTTGTATAATATATGTTTATGTTATATTTCTGAGACAATGCGCTGGGAACTCGAATTTATTATGTAAAAATATATAAATAAAACTAAGTGCTATAAAAAAGTTTTACTTTTTAAAAAAAAATACAGAAAAGTAAATTTTAAATCAGATTGTTTAATGTTATCATTAAATAGAAATCCATTGCTCTGTTAAAGGGACTAAAAGAGAGAGAATAAAAAAGAGAGGGTAAACGGTAGTTCCTTCGCTCTCTCTTGGCCATGTATTTCGGCCCTGTTGGCTGGAGCGACGTAAATACCGTTAGCACAGTACATCGTGGACAGTTGAGCGTGCAAGTTTGGCAGCCAGAAACCATTGCAGATTATATCAGAAAGGCCAACAAATATAAATCAAAACAGAAAATTAAAACAATCTAAGACAACAAGGGAGAGCAAACCCTGGTCTCACTAATAATAACCAAAATGGCACCTCGTAAAGTTTGAAAACACGAACAAAAGAATAACGGTTTTGTATTTCTGGCCAATTCGTGAAGTTTTTTCGGTCCCTCAGCTGTGTGTTACATAAATCTCGGTGAATGTGTGCGTGTGCGTGAGAGAGTGCTCATGTGTGTGTGTACGACTAACAGCAACAGCAAAAATATTAAAAGCAGCTAAGAAAATATAAAGCTACTTCCCGATTTCGAATTATTGTTTGTGTGCTTAGTCAATTGGGTCTGAACCCAAAAGCAGTGTCCTTGTCAATTACGAGAAAGTTACTACATAAAAATATAACGCATACTAGGCGGTGTCAGAAACCAAGAACAGCCACATAAAATACAATATAATCAGCAACCAGTCAAAGCAATGTAAGTGAAAATATTCTATTGAAATAGGTTGTACTTTTATTGTTATTTTTACCTAATCGAAAAGTTGTAACGGCTTCGAATTTTTAACATGATTTTCAATGTGGCCGAAAAAAATGGTCTGGTATAGAGAACGGCATTTTTATGAAGAAAACATATTGAATAATGAATATGTTTACAAGCATAAGACATAATTTTCTAATCTTATCAGCAACAGTTACATATTAAAACCTTTTAGCCATCGTGTCTTTTGGAAATAGCCATTTGTTTCCGAGCCTGACCTCGACCAATCGACTGCTAGTGAAAGCTGAATCGCAACGTCTGTTCAATTTTAGTTAATTCCGCCCTATCAGCTGCAACATGTGTAGCAATTTCCCAGCGCTACATTTTCCACAACATTTATCGATTATCGGAGCCCACTCAGCCATCGCCACCTCCCATTTTCTTCTGGTCAGGTCAATTGCTTGCAAAATTTAATAACCGCACACTTGGCATTTTGCGTTTTGTTTTGTGCCCCAACTTTGTTAATTTCTATTCGGCCCTTTCTCCTCCCTTCTTGCCTCGTTTTATTGCTCTTTCCTTTGTGATGGCGCCCACGCAGTTGCTCGTTATTTTCACTTTTTGTGCCGCTTTTCGCCTGTCAACTGCCTGCCACTCCCACTTTTCCATCGGTATCTTCTTTTGCCTCTTCTTTTCTGCCTCTTTTTCTCGCCACCTTTGTGACCTGAAATGGGCAATATCATCTTGCTTAGGCCCCGGATTGAATATCTTATTGTTAAGAGGGAAATTGTATCCCAAAAGAGTTTGATTGATTTGCCGAAGGACCCGAAAGTTCTTTAGGAGGAGCAAATATAATAGGTATGTGTATTATGTCGGATCGGACCCACCAAACGACTATAATCCGTCAATGTGACGAAAAATGCTCAAAAAAAGTCAGGTAAAGATTTTTTATAACTAAACAAGCTGATTTAATTTTGTTTTTAAAAATCACAGTCTTTAGGTCGAGTTAATCAATGTACATCATATATTTTAACAAATAGAACATAATTTTGCAGATAAAAGGGTTTGTTAATACATTCAAGAAAATATTAAGGGAGTTAATAGGAAAAATAAATCTTATAATACAAAAATAACAAACATATATGTAGTTGAATCAATGTTCGGCTCTGCATTCATATAAAGATTAGATGCCTTATTAAATATTATACATATATCTCGTTTTACAGTAAGCCAATAAACAATTATGTTGTACTTTTTTAAACAATTTGTTTATTGTTTAAACCTTGTTTTCCTGGAACATTATACATTACCACTCATTTGAACGTAAATGTTGAACTTTTGTTTAACCACACAGGTTGATTAGGGATCAGTTTGCTATGACTATAAATTAGAATTTATACATTTGCAGTGTCTACTGTTTTATGGCACTTTTATGTGCACTTTCTCCTGCCTTTCTCCTGCTGCACACTTTGTTGGCTCCCATTGTTATTGCGTATATTGTTTCTGCGTCTAAGCGTGCTTTTTGCGAGCGGCTTTGTTGACCACCCACAACGAAGACAAAGTCGCCGTCATTTCCAGGATACATTTCGCTGCCTGCGTTGCTGCCGTTTCATTTGTTTCCCTGTTTATTGCTCTTGGCTTTCGTCCTGCCCATTGTTCTTGTTGTAGATCCCGCTGCCGCAGGACTTCAGCCTGAAGTATTTCAGCCATTTTCTGGTCAGCCGTCTCCTTTCAGTCGAAGGGACTTGGAAAGGAGGGGGAGTGTCGCTTCTGTTGTGGCCATTGCAATACTAACGGATCACTTTGTGGCAGTTGGGAAAAACTAGTATCTATCACTGTTGCTCAAGGTAAACATTGGACTAGCAATAAGAGAGTTTGATCAACAAGAAATAGCACTGTAGTAATCCATTAATGCAGTATGAAATAGTATGTGGAGTATTTGAATTGAAATTCTTTTAACTTCCATTTTGCTTATCAAACTATGTTATTGGTTATTTTCTAATACAAATTCTAATTTATATAGTCGTTGTATAGGGTTTTCATAAATTGTTTTGAAGCTTAATAAATGAATAAGCCTTTACACCACAACAATAAAAGTAAACTAAATATAATTTGTTAGTTTACTTAGTATAAATGCAGGCATGACTTTTTGACTCAATTTTACTTAAGTGTTTATACGACTGAAATGCTAGACCCCAAAGTTGTCGACGAGCGCATAAAAACTTTCAGTAGATGGGTACTCTGTAGTAAGGGCGAAAAATTAGCATCTGGCCTTTGTAAGTGGGCGGAAGGGTCTGACACAGGCGCTCATTAAATTTGGCGAAAATGTCAAAGCTAATAAAAAGTTTGTTGACATTGTATGTGGGGAAATTATGTTCAGAACTCCTTACAATGGCTGACTTCTCCTAAAACTCCACTCGTCAGAACTCGTAAAAATAAAGAGCAGGAGAGAGAGTTAAAACGAAACTCTTAAAATGCATATATTTTCAAAAATAAGCGTTTTTCGTCTTTTTTGCGGTTGTTCATATATCGCCTAAAAAAACTTTATTGAAATTAAAAAGGCATTTTCATTTATTTCACTTTTACCTATTTATAATTACGATTTGATATGTTCGATGGCAGATATATGATTATATTCGAACGAGTAAACAAATATTTTCCCTAAGTTTAAATTTTAGCCAGGTCATAGATAACATTATAAATATTTCAAAATCATGTGAAATTAAATAAAAACATATTTATTTTATATAAAATAATTTAAATTTGAACTTGTGGATTCACATAACTTATGGAATACTTTGTTTTAGATGCCGATGGGTTTAAATTAAATTAAATTTATTTAAATAAACCTTAGGCAAGGATATGACCAAAAGGAAAAAAAAGTTTTTGCAGGCACTGTGTTGGTTTGAAGGCGAAAGCCGATAATCAATTCCGTGGAAATGGGCAGGTTAGCAGAAGCGGCAGGCGCAGCGGAAAACCCAGAGCTGTTAACAGCCAGGGAAAACCTGTTAAGTTAACAACACGCGCAGGCCCTTACATTTAATTTTAGTACACAAAGAGAGGGAGGGAAGACGAGGGAGAGCGAGAAGAAGAGAGTCCGGACAACAACAAACAGCAGCTCAGCTGTTTTCTGGCCGTGTCGCGTGCTTTGTCCTTGACAAGGTTTTGTTTTTCAGCATTTTTCATACTTCCCCAGCGGGAGCGAGCGAGATGGCCTGCAGAAAGAGCGAGCGAGAGGGCGACACCGAAAGCGTGGGAGAGTATACAGTTTTCCCTGGCTGCGCCATTTTCATTCAGTAAAAAAAGGAGAGGGAGCTGAACTTTTTCCAAGGCGGAAACGCTTCTGCTAAATTGAACGTGTGTTTGTGTGCGTGAGTGTAAGTGTGTGTGAGTGTGTGTTGGAGGCTCATGTTTCTTGGCTTCTTTTGTGGCTTCCATTCGCGTGCCAATTGCGCATAAGTTCTGTGAAATTCCGAAATTGCTTAAAAGTTTTCGGGGAAGATACATCAGCGACCGCAGAACCCGCATGACTTTCTCTTATTGTTGGGAACCTAACCACTCCGCTAACACTATTTCATTAATACACGAAAGAATACCTTAGAAGCTTAAGACATAAAACCCATTAAATTCCATTATTTGGTGAATATCATCAACATTTATAAAAATTCTAAGTTTCCATAAGGATATAAGTTACAGGATTTAATTTTTGTTTAATTTACCTAATTTTAATTTTAACTGAAATGGCATTTATCATATTATACAAATATTGAAAGAATGTGTTCCTCTACTGTTGATCTGATCTTTTGGAGTAAAAATGAAGTAAAATGTTGATAATCTGTATAACTACTTATTTCCAATTCGAATAAAAATAAGGTTTTTTCATTAAAAAAATTATTTATTATAAATAAATTTATTTATTTCTCTTTGTTTGTCAAGGACAATTCTGTGTTCATTTTCTCCACCGGACGAAGGCCAAGGGTGTAAGGGGCCAAAGTGGGATGATATATTGTGGAAACCATTCGCAGATCGCACCTTTAATTGTCATCGTTGTCGCTTTAATTGCTCCGCACGTGGCCTGTCCTTGGACAGTGAAACTAGGTGCTCCACTCCCGTCCAACCACAATTTTGAGCCATCCCCTGTCGTAATATATTACGCTCCATTTGAAATTTATTTTTAGTCCCGCCCGCGTATGTTAATTAAAACGTTGATAAATGGTTCACTCTACAGGGGCCCAGGGTGTCATGGTCGTGTGTACGTGTTAAGCTTTAAGTTGACAGATGTCTAAAAGCCTAATTGTCTCAAGAAAACCCATAGCTCCAATGGGTACCTGCTTAAAAATAATTGCTTATGATTATCCCAATAGGAGCCAATAAAAAGGATTTATCTTGTTGATTAACAACAAGATTTTTGTTCGTGTTTGTGGAATATGAACAATACTTCAATTTAAGCTCCGTTTGTGCATATGTTCTCCTAAGTTTGTCTACTTCTTTCCCCAGTATTTCCCTCCAGCCCGCCTCAGTATTTCCATAATTTAACAGAGAGCCTCGGCCTCGGTCTTACCTTGCAATCTTTTGTCCGTTGCCGATACCCCGTGGATAATTCCCTGAGCTGGCAGTGCATAACTAACTAACTAACTAACCGACTAACCAACCCAACTAACTCTCTGCCTCGGCAAACAGTCGCCCACAGGTAGACACACAACCGCAGGGCAAACACTGCGTATAAGTAATTTGCCGAGCAGAGCGGCAAACTAAGCCTGCAATTAAAGCCACTTGTAATGCGCTTTTGTTATGGCCTAATCCATTTGTGCATGGCCCAAACGACCCCCGGAAGCCCCCGGAAGCCCCCGGAATCCCCCCATTGCCCCACAGTTGAGTACAAATTGCAATTAGAGACGCAGGGAACAGTTGACAAGCCCAAAGATGCAGATGAATATGCAAATGCGAGCTGCGGGGCTCAAGAGATCCAGAGAGAGTCATGTCAACATTGGCTAAGTCTGTCAATGTCAGTGCTCAGTTCTTTTGTTCGTTTGTGGCAAGGTTGGCATTAATGCAGCCAGCTGAAGTGGCCGGGGGCGCAGGGAACGGCTCCATTATCCTGCAGCCAATTGTTTGCCTTCTCTTGGTCTATTAAATCTGTTAGCCAGGTACTCAAGGGCCCTGCCGCAGTGGAAAATAATGCGCTAAGCTCCCGAATTCCACATCGCTGTTGTTCAGGCCCCACTATTGACCCAGTTATCTGGCGAACATTTTGAATAATCTCACCCATCTGCTCCACCCTTTTGTTTCTCCCTGTGTGACAACTTAATTGGACGGAATTCCGCTCGTGTTTTCCTCTTAGCCGGTAGGCCATTGATTTTGTGCTGAGAACCACAGCCGAAACATTTCCTGCTCGTGTCGATGCAATTTCTGACACATTTCAGACCTTTCAGCCACCTTTCCTGGATATCGTTTCGTTTCAAAATACCAACACCAGGAAGCCGAACAACAATTTTGTTTGTTTCATTTTGGGTTAATAAATATATTCGATTTGTGGAGAATAATGATAATACAGTGGGCGTCTTAAATGACAATTTTGCAACTAAAAAAGCTTTGTTGAAAATTTCAGAGAGTTTAAAATAATTCGATCAAGATATCATGAGTCCCTTAAAGAGCTATTTGTTATTCGTTTAAATTATTACAATTGATTGGGTTAGCCGTTTTCCAAACATTTCAACAAGCTGTTGTTTTTTAATTCTGGAATACGGGATAAAAAATATGTTTGTTAGTTTGTTAAATTGTGCAGGAAAGGGATGCGGAATTGGTCAACCGGGGCCAGTTAAAACTAAGTTGACATCCTCTCTGTTTCGGGGCTCGATGGAGCCAATCGCAGAGCATTAACTGCCTGATCGCCCATGTCCATGTGTCACCAGTCCCGCTTCCCCGCAAGGGGAGCAAAAAGCCACATGGAGGGTCGGTCTCCATTATATGCATAAATTACAGTTACGCAAAGCCGGAACCACTGGCACTTGGTCTCGCCAGCTCACCAGTTCAGCAGTTGGTGCAGCAGGAAGAGCTCTCCGGCACTAGAGTTTTCGATTTTCCGCGCTGTCAATTCCATTACGTATGCGCCCTGTTGCCCCGGAGGGCGCTTAAAGTATGTGAATGCAATTTGCATTCGCTGGACACTCGCACGGGGCCAAGAGTAACTAAATTAAGTGCCCTGCCCCTTCTGCCGGCCCACGAGCGCAATTGGGGCAAATAAGGGCTGAACACTGTGCGTTGGGAATTCGCCAGAGACCGACAGACCGACAGACCGACAAGTGGCAAAACAAACCGAGGCATAAAAGCGCTGGGCGAGTGCAAATATTTTTTCAGTGCCAACTCAAGGATATCCTTGATGTTTGCCCAGCCAGGGAGGTGGAGCGTGTTGGCGCTAAAAGAACTAAAACGAAATGCATCCTGCAATTATGAATGAATGCAGGTCCCCCGAAACAGCGAAAAAGGAAGCCAGTCGGGCGCCAACGGATGCGTTTGCGGAAGCTGCACTCGGTTCACTATGCAAATGTCCTTTTTATGCCTGCACTGAGGAAAACCAATGAGGAGTCTGTCTCGGGTATTTAAAAATGTGAACCTATTCATACATATATCATAATATACTGGAAAAGTAATCATTTTTGAGTTACTCTTCTTACCCATCAAACAAATAATATAATCTGATATTGTAAATATTAATAAAAATCAGATAGTATTCTAGCATTGATTACATATCGTTTTCCGATTTCCATGCATGCTTTTATGGTTCGTGTGTCAAAGTGGGTGTTGTCCTCAATTAAAGCCGCTGGCCTAAAGCTGGCCAACACACTTTACATAACATTTCAGCACTCTCCCTTTCGTCCTTTGGCCCTCGATTTCCCTTTCCCACCCCCTCACCCTCTCGTCGCATATTTATGACCTCGCCTAAGTGCATAGCCTTCAAAATGAACGAACGACTGACTGTCTGTGTAAGGACATTGGAACGCGTTGCCAATGCTCAAATGCTCAAATGCTCTGGCCAAAGGCAGTCATTACTCATTCCACACCCACACACGCCCACACCAACACACCCTCACACCAACACACCCACACAGTCACACACTCCCCGTTTGCACAGTGGGTCGCTGGAGACATGCACACATTTTAAAAAGTGTGCCCAAAAGTGCAAAAAAATAATGTATTTGAAATTTCAGAAGTGCGTTATTTGTTGGTTATAAAAAAAAAACATACGTATTTCACATTTAAAAACTTTCAATTAGAAAATGTGTGGCTTTCGGGAAATTCCATTCATACAACTTCTTTGTAATCAATAAGTTTTAATTGTTTTTTTTATAAAATTATTATAATTTAGGAATGCATCAATTGATTCGTTTTCTTTTTCGAAATGGTGCATACCACGGTGCCTCCTTTAGAACAAGCTTGAAGTGCGATTATTAAATGTGCCTCGATGCTCATTTTATGGCATTACCATCCCCTCACCCGTCCCTTTCCACTCAGCTCACATTTTTCCAGCGGCACACAGCCGAAGGCAGAAACATTTCAGGGCAAAAGGGGAAAGGGGGCTGCCAGGGATGGCCATTACGTCGAAGGGTAAAGCAACAGACTTGGCTTGAATGCCGGCCAAAAGAGAGAACTACTCATAATAATCATAATGAGCGTGTGTGCGAGTGCAGACAGATGCAGTCCTTTTGTGCAGCAGGACTGCTGCTGTTCAGTTTGGCTTAGTTGGGCTTGGCTCTGGGCCATGTGTCTGCGTTTAAGCCAAAGCTCCTATTTGGAGCGCCGGCATTGACGTTAATTACAGCCAAAGGACATCAAACCATTTTCAACGGAATTCTGTACTTTTATTAACATTTCCCTGCTTTACAATAAAAAAATTAATGAACAGACTCAAGGTCAATTGTGGTTTGTACTGATAATATCTTTAAAGGTTATTCAGGTTAAAAATTATATTATTTATGGTGTTTGTTGTTCATAAGCGCTACTCCTTTCGATCAATTCAGAGGGTCCTCGCCAAAATGTCAAGATATTCCTCTTTCCCATAACGACGTTGTTATTGTGATCTTGAATCCCTTAAACGTTCTTCAATGCATAATGTGGCAGGAAAGCTGTTTGGCCTGCACCGCCTTGATGCTGTGATGCATAATTCATTTGACGGCTTCTGCATATTTTGAGAGCGAACACACTCTAATGCAATTTGACATTCGTTCTATAGCCTCGTGCAAGCTTTGAGGATTTGAAGGGGTTGCCCTCCTCCTTTTAAACTGCATATCCTGTTACAATTCATACGAAATGTAAACGGAAAATGGGGAAAAATCATTGGCGTTGGCGCGAGTGGTTTTTTTTTCCAAACAAGTCCATTCCGAAATGGCATTGACTGTGTTTATTTTTCGGAATTCGATGGGGTAAAATGCATTTCTGGCAATCGACAAAGCGAACTTTTATAAAGACACTCTTTCTGCTCGCCGAAAATCGATGTTTTTATATTTTCGATGACCAGATGTCCTTGCTAGTATCTGGATTTTATTTTATGTGCATATTTGCTGTTCAATCAACAGAAAGTGCTGGGAAAGCTTTAAGAAAAATATTATGTTAATCAAAGAATCAGTTTTTTTTGGTACGGAATGTATATTACTACCACAGCTTGTAATGTTCACTGCATTAAATATATTTAATTTTTTTAAGTGTTAGGGCCAAACATGCAACTAGAACAAAATACCAAAAATTAATTTGCTCCTTTTGGTTAGTGCCTCTTCCGGGTATAACTAATGTCGCTATAACCGGATTCTACTGTAGTTCTATTTTACTCAGCTATGCACACCAATTTCCTCTGTTTTAACCTATTTATTAGTGCGGTTACATAAAGAAAGAAGACAAAATGCAATAGTCTATGGCCTCTACTATCAGATATATGTTACTTAGTTTAACAACTTTTAAAGATCTTGACGTTTATGCAGACAGCATAATTCTGGTGGGCCAAATAGTGAGTTTTTGCTACCAGAGCCCAAATCATTAAAAAATATTTCAGCGCTATAAAAACTGTGGGCGGTACTGAATTTTACGGTTTGCGGTTACGAACTATAACTGTTCCCAATGTATTTTGAAAAAAGTCGTTTCCTACTTTTTATGAGTAGAATTCAAGCATGTTATCCTAATTGTTGTAAAATCAAAACTGCGGTCGCCACAGAATTTTGCGGTTAGTGGGCTTAAAACTGGACGTGGATCGACTCGTCTGATAAGCTGATCAATAATGTATATAGGAATAGAAGTTGTAAAAACTTCAAAGAGTTTGCTAAATGTTGTATAAAAGTTTGACGTCGTTTACACCCACGCTAAAAATGTATTACAGTAGAATCCGCTTATAGCGACTTTCAAGGGACCGACGAGTTTTCGTCGTTATACCCGGAAGACGCACCAAGCAAAAGGATATAAGTGTATAAGTCTGTCTGGGGACCAATCAAGCCATCGAGTTTTCGTCGCAATACCTGGACGGACACTATAAGCGGAGTCGTTATAACAGGATTCTACTGTATTTTGTTTAGCTTCTTGCCTTTCTTATTTTCGTCCCGTGTTAACACAGATTCCAAACAGAGCTCCAAAAAATGTTTAGCTAGGTAATAATTTGTGCCAAATAAAAGCAAATATGTATGTGTTAAAAAAGTTATAAAAAATAGTATTATACATTATAGTATTATAGTATTAGCATTAATTTAAACAAAGCACACCAGATTCCACAGAACTAATACCCTCCTTTTTCTCTTTTTTTGCAGGTTCGTTGCCCATCAGATACCCAATATCTAATCCACTTATAAAAAATATAAATATAATGATAATGCTATGAATACGACTGTATAGCGCACACAAATAATCCGAATCCAACTCGAACACGCCACAAAGACCAACACTCCGGACCCAGAACTCGAAACAAAAACAAATTGCAGCACCAAACAAATACGAACAGGAATACAAACAGCACAGCACACTGAACAAACACCAAATATCAAATAGAACTAATATACCTATCGCTAATTAAATTATGAATAGCTAAAGCTAATTAAGCAACAATGCTCGTACAACAGACACATAACTAGCCCATATCCAGTACAACCTGCCTATAATCGACCGCCTCTAGCCACAATTATACATAGACATCTACCAATATTTGCGCAGCATTTGGCAGCAAAGACGCGAACCCACGACACTGAATAGAACATATTATATTAGGCAAACAACACGAGAAGAGAACAGATCCCGAATACTGAACACCAACATCAGATATCAGATATCAGATTTCAGATATAGAATGCCTTGCTCCCCACATAAATGTCTAGCTAAATGTACTGTTTTATTGTTCCAACCCGTAATGAAATAATGAACAAGCACTCTCGCTATTTGTGTGCCCCCGAATGCGCGGTAAATGCAGCTTCTGCATCGGCTGATCACGCTATATATCTGCCCCATATCTGCTATGCCACCTATAGCTAACCCGACTGCTGCTACTCCGAGTCTAAATCCAGTCCACCCAACCACCAACAGCCAACACATGTAAATACAGACTCTTCCTACCCGAACAGTCGGAGATCGGCCTGATCTCAGTGCCTGATTTCCAAAGCCATTGGATCACCCGAAACCGATAACCGATAACACACGATAACACAATCCGAGTCCAGAGTCCCGATATCCAGATTCCCGCAGAAAAGGACGACACACGAACTGAAATGTGCGTTTTTTCCTCCTCCAAAAGTTTTACATTTTCCACTCGTCAGACTTTTCCACATTTCTCAAAACTACTTTCTTCTTACTCCTTTAACGTACTAAACTATAGCAATAGAAGGCATGCTGCTTGTGATCGCTTATTCTTACTCGGCTCTTATGAAAATCTAAAACAGCTCGAATACCTCTCTTTCAATCTATTTTCCGCTCATATACTACTCCCCTTAAACACGCTTAAAGTCTACCTTCTAACTCGACAAGTTTCCATTATATAAACTCAACATAACACGACAACAATATATATCCGTTGTACCGAATAAATTTAAACAAACTTATTTTTCCTTTGTTAACAAAAGGCTTTGAAGAATCCCTTTTATTTTGCTGTTTTATAATATTATTCTTAACCCAAGTTTAAAATACCAAACTTCTGTTTTAACATATAAAACTATTAACGTCTAACTACCAAGTACTACATGTGTTATTTTTCAAACTTTTTTTTTATACTATACTCTATATTGTTTAACAACTCTTACACTACCTTACATTTCTCTATTACTCTACCAATACTCGTAAATGCTTATGATTACCCCAGCACCACTTGCATTCCCAACAAGGAACCTCCAACGAATGTTTGCCTCTAAGTGTCGCGTATGCCAAGTCCACATTTTATTTCGATCGAGTGCAACGTATTCGGTGTACTAGAGTCGTTTTCTCTACTCTTTTTCAACTGTACTCTTTTTGATAATTTTCTTTGGTACATGCCTTTCCCCTCCGAATAGCCAACTTTTACACACCGTTAATACTTTTTGGCTCTATGTGCAATTTAAATCTCAATAAACTCACCACCTAAGCAACAAAGTTAAACTAAAACCAAAATATCAAAAGCAAGTTCAACTCGCTCGCTCGTTTTCTTCATCTAAAACCAAAAAACCGCAAAAAAAAAAAGAAAGCTACAGATAATTGGCTCCAATTGAACTAATCGTTTTATGCTTCTAATTGTTTTATGCGAAATTTCTATCGATAAACCAAAACCGCCAAACCGAACCGCTTAAAAACGAATCAAATCGATCGAATCGATTCGAAATGTCTCGCGAAAACTCGCCTCGTCACGGCTCCTTTCGCCGTAATCTGAACAGCAGAGATCCTTCGGGAGGGGCAGCGGGAACTGGTTCTGGTTCTGGAACTGGTTCCGGACCGGGATCGCCACACCACCAGCAGTCGAACCACCACCACCACCAGCAGCAGCACTACCACCACCACCACCAGCCGCCGATCATGGAGCACGCCGGCGCGCCGATCTCCACCTCCGCCTCGAACATCGCCACCGTTTTGGAGGACGGGGAGACCGCCCACCTGCCGCCCCTCACGGGATCGGGCCCCAGTCGCCAGAGGTCCTTGCGGGACCGACTCAAGGACGGCATCACCGGCAGCTTCTCCTGGCAGTAAGTCCTCGCCACGCGCGCTCTTTTCGATGCTTCTTCCACCTTCCACGTTCCACCTTTCACCTTTGTTCCGACTTTGATCTTATTACAACTCTTCTCCGACACCCCGAACTCCAGATTGTTTCGATTATTTCCGTAGTTATTTTCAGTAGTCCACTCTCCACTGTATGTTAACGCTTTTGTTTCTAGACTTGAATTCGATTTAACTAGTACCCACACGAAATCAAGTGCACAGCGTTGTAAGTAAGCAATAAACCCAGGGAACAAATCCGAAAGGAAACCAACTAGATTGCACAGCACCCTTTGTATAAAAATGAATTAAAACACCTTTACTTCACCTTAAGTAAATTGTAGTGATTATATATTGGTACACAGTTGGTAAGTGGTAAATGCTAATGAAGATTTAGCACCTGGGAGTTGATATAATAAGTTGGTATAATAAGTAAAACTAAGTTACCCTTAAGTCTTATTTTTCTCTCATCTTTAAGTTTGTTCCTTATTGTTAGATCCAGGAAATACATTAAAATTGAAAGCGAAAACAAAAAGCATTTACAAAATGAAACCAACAAAACAACTGTTGAACAAAGTACTTGTGCAATGTTAACAGACAAAATGAATCACAGGTCATAAATCAATTAAATTTGACAGTTTAATTTCCAAGTCTCTTTCCCACTCGCAAACAATCACCTAAAGAGGCTCAAAACATTGCATAATTAATGTAAAAATAAATACAAGTACTAAGGGGACAGAGAAAGCGATAAAACAGAGGATATTGCTATGTGACGGACTGAAAGGGTGACATAAGCGAAGTCAACGCCCTTCACGTTTAATTGAGGTGGGAAAACAAGGTGACAGCACGTGGAAAAGCAGATTCAGAAACAGGAAACCCGAACAGAATTATGACAATTAACATGGAACTTCAATTTTTATCATTTATTAATAAACGCTCTAATTTGTGTTTCCTCTAGAGGAGATCAAATTTATACTTAAAAACTTCAGCAGTTGATTTGTATTTGAATCATTGGTTTAAAGTCGTAGACTTTGAACAACATTTTTGGGGTAATGAAAGTGATTTCTTCAAAATATTTCTAAACGGAAAAAAGCAAGACTCAAAGAAGAAACTTGCTTTTTATTTGCAAAACAATTGAAGCACGTGCGACGGGCCTTGAGGTCATCATAAATGCCTTTCTCCGCACTGACCCCTTCACCCAAGCAAACCTTCCTCTTCACCAAAAAGTTGTTATAAAGTCAGCTCAAAAGTTTCTTGAAGCAACAACCACCTAACAAAGTTTTTCGACATTACATTTGGAGTTTGGCATTTATTCCGTTGGCCAAGCGAGTAAAAGGAAAAGTTCACTTCAAGCTGAGTTATTTTCCACCCGGCGTATGCGTAATATTTATTGTTCTAAAAACTTTCACTTCATGCTCGCCGCCAGCCAATCGAGTTGTGTCATTTTCATTATGCAGCACTGCTATATAGACACACGATCAGTTTGACCTTCAAAGTTTGCCAATATACTTGCACTTCTACTCCACTTCCCACCCCCCAATATATATTGTATCTCATCCCCTCTCGCATCTCGCATCTCGCATCTCGTATCTTGTATCTTGTATCTTGAGTCGGGCACTCCTCAAACTTGTTCTGCGCGCAGACAGCTGCAACTGGCGATTTCATCGGTGCAGTTCCTTAAAGCACTTCAACCTGGTAATTTGTGGCCTTGAAAGCCTTTTCGACTGGCCTTGTTTCCTTTGTTTACCTGCTGCTGCCTCTGTGGCTTCTCGCCACTGTTCACCTTCCTTTTCATCCAGGCAGGGCTTCAATATGTTCGAGTTGTGGTTTGTCCACTTTTTATAACCGCCACTCGTCCGAAAAAGTGCAAACAGATTGGTAACACCTTATGCTTATTTACTCGTGATCAGCATTCAGAACTACTCATAAGGACCCGGAAAACTTAAATATAATATAATATAATATAATATAATATAATATAATATAATATAATATAATATAATATAATATAATATAATATAATATAATATAATATAATATAATATAATATAATATAATATAATATAATATAATATAATATAATATAATATAATATAATATAATATAATATAATATAATATAATATAATATAATAAAATATAATAATAAACATTAGAAGTCTGTGAATTTTAATTCACAAAGGAAATGAGTATTTAATTGTTGGACTCTTGCATTTTATTCAGTTGATATACATTTTAAGATTTCGAAATCAGAAATCTGTTCTAATTTTTTAGTTAAATAAATAATTCGCTTCAGGGCTTAGGGTAAAGTTGATAAAACATAAAATCTTTTAATTTTTAATAAGCCTTCTATACTGTCGAATTACTTTAAAAATGAAATGTTTGTATTACTTTCCCCTTATTATTTTTGCCAACTCACGACTCCAATTCGACACGGCAGATTAAAATAGCTTAATACAAGCATCCTCTTCAGAAATACTTTGAGAGTAGAAACGCAAACCTGCAAACTCGACCTTGACCTGGTCTTAAAGTTCGCGTTCACTCCCAGGCTGAAAGTCGATCTGATCTTCAATGCACAATCGCCCACACACGATCAACTCAGCCAGCCGACTGCTAATTGAAATTTCAGGAGCTTGTGGCTTTTGTTTTGCCACAAAGCCAAAATGGCAAAGAGAACAATGCCAATAAAATCATAAAGAACCGCGACAACAACACCGTCTGTTTGCCAGAGCAAATACCTTCGACAGGCCCCCGCAGATCGTCGAAAAAGCCAGGCCAAAATGGCATGGCATCGCACGAGAGCAATTTCAAGCGGTTCAGCAAAGATTTGGATGTGTGAATAATTCGTATGTGGCGGCATTAAGACCTATGGCGATGCCGCGCACGTTCCGAGGAGCAGAGTGGGTGGCTGATAATAACGATAATGGCCGAAATGATGATGGTAATGGATGTGTGGGCGTTTCCCTAAACTGTCGACTGACTGGCGTTCTGGCAGTTTAGTCAATCCTTTGCCCAGCTCTACGACAACACGTATAGAAAGCTCGTGCATGCACTGGAAAAAGTATTTTCATTTTATAAACCCAAGTAAAATGTTTAAGACATTTCTAGACTATTTTGGCAATGCTTTAAAGCAATTTTAGAACACCCAACAAGTGAACGATGCCTTTACACTTTGTGGCTGGCAGCAAAAACTGCAATTTTGTATCTTATTTTGTTTTTCGGCTATTAGTTGCAAAGGAAAAATATTAATATCTTGACAACCAATGGACGATATTGTGCAGTATTTTAGGGACTTTAAAGTGCAATTAATTCGAATCGAGTTAGATGCCGAATCGAATTAATTTGAAATGCCTGCCTTTGGTTTTTGCCAAGTGTAACTTAAGCTGACATTGGCTGTAAATAGCAGTTGACCCTGAAACGGTGCACAAGAGAGCCTCCCTCTTCTCCCCCTTCCGCCCCCTTCTTGCCACCAAATAGCTGGCAAATTGTGTGCTCATGTGTGCGCTTCTGGTGGTGTGCAAATGTGTGTGCCAGTGTCTAAAAGCGTTTCATGTTTGACTTTCACTTGCAGCTGTGACGAGCTGCAACATTTGCTGCGCCTGTCAACGCCAGCAACACTGAGGCAGCAACAACCACAACAAGCACGGCCATGCAGCAACACAGCAACAGCAGCAACACTGCAACAGCAGCAACAACAAATGACAACGGCAACAGCAACACAACACGCTCGTTTGTATCGGCCGTGTTGTTGGCAACCGACGTTGTTTTTGGCCATAATTTCCATTGATTGTACAGTGATTCGAAATGAGCTGAAAGGCAAAAGGATTAGAGAATATGTATTGGGCCTAAGTTAATGTTTCGGTTTTCCTGTTTTGCCTGATAAACATGCCAATACTTCTCACAATTTCAAGTAAAAAGTTTTTTAATAAAAACTGTAGTAGGATTGTAATCCATTTAAAATTGTGTATATTTTGTTGTGAGACCTCTTACACTTCTTATAAATAATATATTGAATTTCAATCAGAGATCCCACTAGGAATTGGGCCTGGGGGAGTTAAATATAGGTTTTAAAAAATGTTTCTACATGTTTAAAGAACATTTTACGTTTTGGTAGGCCCACTGAAATACTTTCTTCAATCATAAAAAACTTCTATCGCAAAATGTGTGTGTTGACTCGACTTCGACCTTGGGGGATCGTCCAGTTGCTCCTCGAATTTTGTGTCCTTCACCACAGTGCCTGCCAAAAGAGCACTCATCCGCCAAGCGGTGGCAGCCCGTCTGTGTTCGGGGTTGTTGCTGTGGTCCTATCTTCAGCCGAGGATGAAATGCAACGCCAATGTTGTCCACTGCCGCCCCTCCGCACATCCGAACATCCTGCTCCGCCTGCTCGCAAATTTTCATTAGTGTTTCGCCACTGCTGGTGTTGTCATTGATGTCGTGGTCTGTCGCTGACAGCTGACTGCTCCCGCTCCTGCTCCTGCTCCTCAATCCCCTCTGCAACCAGCTCCCCATCCTGCTTCTACATCCTGCTCCTCATCCTGCTCTTTCCATCAGGTTTTGGCGTGGGTGTTGCCATAGCTTGGCCAACGGTTATTGTGTTCGCGCTTTGCATAACGATTATGAAATGACGCTTAATAAAAAAGTGGCAGTCAAGTCAAACAGAAGCCGAGTCGCCTAGCTGCCGCCTGTCCCACGCGGCGTATGAGCAATGTGCATGCAAATACATTTATCGTTGCTTTCGAATTTGAATTAATTGCTACAATTAATTGGCCGAGTTTACATAAGCCTTCCTGATCGGTTAAAAGCACTTGGTGGGAAATATATACCGAAGAATTTTGAGTCATTAAAAGTTTTAGAATGAAATAAATATCATACATTTATAGGCATCGAAAATTTAAGTTCCCTTAATATCTGTGATCTCAGGACCACCACCACGGTTTTTAGTATTTAATAAGACATTTTTCTGCGTTCAATTTAGATTTTATTTACTTTTATTGATTTAACTATATCCAGATAATATATAACAAGTTATTTATAATAAGAATGAAATAAATATCATAATTTCATGGGCATAAAAAAATTATATTTACTTAATATTTTTGGAGTAAGGACTCTAGAAGGGATCTTACTACATATTTGATAACTTATTTCTCTGCATTCAATTAAAAGTTATATATATTAATAACAGCTGCAAGGGGATTCATTGGATCATTTAT